GGGGACATCCTGAATTGCAAATTAACATATATATCTCTGGAGTGACCTGAGGTGCCTCTGATGCTTTATTTATACTCATACTTGAGAACGACAGAGAATTAAATGCTGGAAATGCTAACACAAGGAATAATATACATGCTGTTTGGTGAAAATCATGCTGCTCTGAACAACACATCGATGAGATAGGATCACAGACAAATTGGTTTTAATGTCAATTAAAATTTAGAAGGATTTGGTGCTTGGAATAGGATACCTTCCATATATGTCTAAGGGTAGGCTTTACTGAAGGCAGGATAAATAGCCCATAATGCACTGCATCAATGTAGTAAAATATCATAGAACAACCTCATAATTATTAAGTAGGAAATAGCCATATTCTAAGTAGGAATGCACTTGGTTTAATTTAGTAGCTTTCTCTTTTAACCTTTTTCTGAGCAAATTCAAGTACAAAATTGACTGCTATTTGCAACACTTGCACAGTGCTCTTGTCTTCAAAACTGAAGCATAACGTCTAATGATAAGAGAGCAAGGGATAATGGATAAAATACATAGTAGTCAAACAGAAATCAGCTTTGAATTATCTAATTTAATGTATACAGGTATTGCTCACTTAACGACCGAGTTCCGTTCCTACGACAAGGTGCATTAGTACAGTACTGTATAGCGTTGCAGATGTACAGTACTGAACAGTGTACTGTACATCGGGCAATGAAATACTTACCAGGACCCGCAGTGAAGAACGGAGGACATCACTTCCGCCGGCGACACGTAGCACTGATGCTGACGCGCAAGGTCGGAGGTCGATCGGAGGACGGTCGTAAGTGAGAGTGGTCGCAAAGCAGGTAAGTCGGTAAGCGAGGATTAGCTGTATATATAATCTAAATATACTCTAAGTGGTATATTTATAAAAGCTGTAGCTATACGCTGGGCAGATGCCATTTGCATGGCACTGACAAGTAAATTCCTATACTGATCAGCAACATCTAGTGCTATGCAAATGGCATCTGCCCAGTGTATAACTTCTAATTATTTACTAGTTGTTTGTTACTACATAGTACACATAGGGGGGAATTTATCAAAACTGGAGCAGACAGAATCTGAAGCAGTTGCCCATGGCAACCAATCAGCATCTCTGAGACAGAGAAGCTGATTGGTTGAAGTGCAAATCTGCTCCAGAATATGTCGCTCCAGTTTTGAGAAATTCCCCCCACAGTTCACTATGCTACTAAATAACCCAAGTGACTGAAGCATAATCAGAGACAACCATAAAAAGCAATAATGGTGAGACAGCTTATTTCCTAGAAAAAAATGATACTTTTTCTTTTTAATACTCCTATCACAATTCCCACACTCCTTCTGTTGCTTAAAACAAGAAAACATTTTAAAAAAACTGCAAGGTCAAGTGCTTTTATCTACTTGCAAATAAAGATGTTCTTAATAAACAGTCAAACCTCTTTGTGTCAATGAATGCTCAAAGAGGCAGGGGGGAAGACAGTTTCTATACTCCTGGCAGACGTCGCTCAGGATTTAGGTGGATTCACATGGCATAAGGATACACTAAGGGCACATTCACACCTTTTCATTGCAATAACGCACACGATTTGGCAACGCATGCATTAGTACATTCTGGTGACTTTCATTTTGAAAGGCACCCCCTTTGCACAACAGCAATGCACTTTGACACATTGCTTTTCCAAAAAAAGGGTCAAGAGAAGCTTTTTGTGCACTGAAATGCATTGGAAGCCCACTCAAAATAAATGAGCTGCCCTAATGTAATGCATGCTAACGCTTGACCCAACACACCGCATGGGTTTGAAGCTGGCCTAAATCCCATATCTATGGATACATTCTATGACTTTTGAACTATGAATACCATTAGACTCTAGTGTCTGATTAATATCACTAGGGATGAGTAAAAAACTGAGGGCTTTCATTTCTCCAAAATGTAGGTAAAATATTACCACTTTGGCTAAATACTGTACATTGTAGTCAATGGGGAAGTTTAAATCAGATGGTTTTTCTGGTTTTGAAGGATACCATGGGCTTTAAAAAGGCCCCTGAGGGTTAAGGAAGTTCCTTTCAACTATCCTGGACCTAAACCTGGCCTTTCATTAGACTCATTATTTATGTTTCTTCACAAAAAGAAAGGAAACAGACACTAATCAAGAAACTAACAAACAAAATGTAAAGCACATAAATAATGATCAAATACAAAAAAAAAAGGAAAATACATAAATACAATTAATAAGGGGCTGATTTACAACATTTTCACCTAGCATATAGCAGGGTGAATGCAGTTCACACTGCACTACTGCCACTAGATGGCGCTGAGAAGTAAAGGAATTTCCTATGCTCCTTGGCTCCATCTATTGGTGGTAGCGCCATATGAACCGCATTCACCCAGGTATACGCTAGGTGGAAGATTTATAAATCAGCCACTAAATAAAATAAAATAAACTGCCCTAAATATCACAAAAAAACCCACAAACTGCTTCAGCTATGTTTTTAATATCTCCAACCTTGCCTACTTTGAAACATGCACACTTTTTCTAGTATATATATATAAATACAAATACTCTAGTAAGTCTTCATATTAATTCATTTCCCAGATTTTTGAAGAAGACAACAACTGCAACAATTATAAGCAGTGATGACATTTTGGTCGTGGCTTCGTTACACCTACACATTACATAGACTTACCATAGCACACAATATTAAGTGTTTCTTCCAAGGACAAGAAAAAGAGTCTTGGAAAAGCCTGTTTCTTCTGTTCTAGATGTAATCGGACAGCATGTTGGCAGCGCTCAAGTTTATAGTTTAGCATGTCTAACAAAGACTGCAGTCCTGGAAAACACATTTCTCTTCATTAATCAACACTTCCATATTTGCATCACAATTAGTCTAATTAAAATGTTTAACTTTTAGGTCACTGTTCAGCTGAGCTTTTTCGAACTGGTTTCTTTGACAAAAGTCAATTGAAATATCGAGCAGGTCCCCCCAACGGGGTCACACACTAATTAAATTTCAACCAGTGTAAGGCTGGGCACACACCTTACAACCATCGCAAGACTTTTGTCTTGTGATGGTTGTAAGGTACTTTAAAAAACCTACGATCTGCCTATCTTGCATAGGCAGATCGTACTTGCGATGATCGCAAGCCACGTCCCCTGAGGGGCGGGCTTCCGATTACCGCAATGCCGAACGGGCAGTGTGCGCTTGCGCACACCGGCCTGTCCGGCTTTTATCTTACGAACATGCAACACACCCGCTGAACATCATACGATGCTCGGCGGGTTTTGAAACATGTTCGTAAGTTTAAAGTCGTGCAACCTTACATTAGTAGAGGTCGCACAGCTTCCAGACACCTTACGATAATCGTACGATCGCGGTATTTCCCGCGATTATCGTAAGGTGTGTGGGGACCTTTAGGCCAGCTTTACTGATGAGAGGCCACTTATGGCACTGTCAACTGAATGAACTCATGCTGGTAACACATGATGTCTCCCAGCTTCCTAGAAGTCATAATTATGACAAATGCAAAGCACTATAGTTGTTTACATTCCTCTGAACCATAGGGCAAAAGTTTTAGTAGTTACCAGAAGCGCAGTTGTCAGACACAGGTCCTCTAAGAGTGTTAGTTAAGCTAAAAATGGATTCAAATGTATTTTTTTCTTGCATAGCCCTAACTGTTACTGGTTAAAGCTGAATTTTAGCAGATGTTAAATAAAACGTTTGACAATGTTTTGTATTCATTACACCATCACTAACATATTACAATCATTTAATATCATTACCATCACTAAATCTATTTTATACAAAGTCAGGGCTCTCTTGCCTACAGGGAACATGCTTACAGGAAGTGAGAGCTAAGGAATTACCTAATTGGTGTAAAGCTGCTCCCACAGTGTTCACTTTGTGCTTTAGAATTTGAGGGCCCACTCACCTCTTCGCATGCAGTTCTGCAAGATGTTTGGATTTTCTTCCACAGATTTCATTAATCGGCAATAATGGTGATGCACATCAGCAAATAAAATGGCTTCTCTAGGCATGGCAACACGAAATGCTAATGTGGAAAACACCTATTTATATAAAAAAAAAAAGAACATAAGCCTTAAATATGCTGAATGTTCCCAAATAAATGCAAATCACTTTCTAGACATTTGTACAAGTTGTCAGTCGTTGGTCTACTGTGAAAACGGTATTACTATATGGTACATTAATAGTATAAAGTGGAGAAGGGTGAATATGCTAATTATTTTATGGGTTTTTTTCCACTGAATGCCTGCTGAGAAATTTCCAACCACTGATAATACTCATTCCCATTCACATTTATCTGATCGAGCCACATTCTCTGCTGTACCTTCAACTTCTGGATTTTCCAAATGTCAGTGATATGTGATGCATTTATATTATATCCAATGTTACACTGGCCAGATATGAAAGCCTTACTCTTTTCAAATGGCAAATCATTAATTTTATCATTAATTCATCATTGATTCTTGTGAAAACACACCATGCTTGATCCTGCTTCACTATCTAATTTCACATTGGCAGCACATTCAACACACTACAAATGTGCCTTTTAACCTAATTTGCATTCATTGGCATTTACCTCCTTCCAGCACCCCAGTAAATACTGGGAAATGCAGGCACCCAAATATTACAAAATAAACCAGGGGTCACTAAATGGCGGATCGCTGATCGAACCAAGTGGCAGTTCTGTCTGAACCTTGATCGCCTGCTCAGTGCAGGCCCCCCTCCGCTTCAGTAAGCAGGGCCAGCTTGTCAACTACAACTGATCTGTACAGCTGTACAGCCACCCAGATCACTTATACTAGCCTGTGATTTTGCCACCCCCGCCCCCACTATGGTTTTTGGGGTCCTCTGCTCTTCTAGGGGACCTGGGATCATGGCAGAGGGTGTCAGGATGGAGAGCGGGAACAGACCAGGGAATGTCCATTTCCCGATCTGCTTTGTGATCAGTGAAGCAGGGGGCACTGTGCTCTCAGGGCTTCCGGCTTCAGAACTGTCAGAAGTCGGCTGAAGTGTCAGGTGAACAGACAATTAAATACAATCCTGTGCTTAATCAGCTGTATTGGAGGGCAGGAGAGTCTATTAGAACCATGATGCCTCCATAAAGAGAACCTGTCACCTGCAAATTCTGTCACCTAGGGGCTTGTTAGACCCCTTTGTGATAGCAAAAGTGAAATAAAAATGTAAAAATATAAATAAATAAAAAGTTTAAAAAGCATTCAAACCAACCCTGTCAACCCCGTCATCGGGTTTTAATGAACACGTGCACATAGTTATATGTATGTAAATGGGAAGGGGGGATGCTAACAAAAAAAATATCAGCACATCAGCACTGTGCCTGAGAACACACACCAGCAGCTGTACGTAGTAGTGCAGTTGCTTGTGTGAATGCCGCCTAAATGATATATGGACATGGACTGTCCCGACCGCGATTTGGACCTCTGCTCAATTAAAATGTTACTCACCAGACCTCCTTGAATTTTAATTTAATTCCTCTCTAATATGCCGTAGCTATAGTAAACCTTTATTATGATTTTATCTGTGACAGACATTGGAGCCGTACAAATTAGCTCTTCTTACAAGCATTAATAATGATAACTGTGCACTAGTGTCAAAAATGGCAGTGGTATTATATACATAATATACCATATTTACTGACTGGCTGAGAAACTGTGGCAGGAATTTGCTAGATCTTTGCAGGAGGCTGAGCGGGGTGGCTTGAGGGATAGCTCAGCCTCCTGTGACATGCTCACAGCGCTCTCCTCCCCCATCCCACTCAGATTTTGACAGTTTCTCTCCTCCACGCTGCATGCTCCACTCTGTCAGAGGGGACACAGAGCAATGGCCAGTGTGGAGGAGAGAAACTATGGATGCACCGCAATTTCGGACAAAAGATGGCACTTTCGGCAGTTTGCCTAAAGTGCCATTTTCGGCTGATACGTTTCGTCGGACGAAATTTCAGTGCATCCCTACCTTTTTCCTTCGGACCATAAATATAAGCATCAAATCAACTGAAAATACTAGATTGGGTATATGAACACCTCTTCAAGTTGAGTCCATTTATCTTGCACGGAAAGCCACAGCTGGACAGTTGTTTCAATGACTTGTAACTTCTTCTGCCATTTTGTCACATCATCAAGAAAGGATCCAGCTTCTGCATATGGTTGTATACTGGTGAGCAGCAGCTGATGATGTTCCAGTTCCTCAAACACAGACTCTTTATTCCTCAGGAGTTGGATCTTGCCAAAGTCCTAATCAACATATCCAAAAGTAATTCAAACAGAAGGTGATCATATCAAAAACACTAACAATACACTACAGTCAGCTAATCTTGGTGTTCTTTTCAATACAGCTACAATAGGAATAATAAATCCCTTCAGAAAATTCAAGAATATAAAAGGTCAAAGAGTAGCTATATGACTATTTTATACAAAGCCCTTAACTCCAAGGTCATCAGTAATAAGCATTTCATCTGGGTTTAGGCACTGAACATTGGGAACTCTATGTGTTATCTTAAAAAAACATATGCGGTTCCAGTGCAGATTAGAGCAATCATATTTATAATAATTATTAGGGATGCACAGATACTTTTCGAGTACCAGTGCAGATACTTGGCATTTTCATGAGAACTACCAGGGTTGCAGCGGTTGCAGCTGGGACCTGGCTCTGGCAGACCACAACTGTCCTGAAATCATTAGTCTGTATTGTTTTAGAAAAACTGTCACATGAAAATAAACAAAAATGTATCAGTACTCGTACTTGTAAGTACTCGGCAAGTACCAGTACTCGTACTCGCAAAACTGGTATCTGTGCATCCCTTTATTTATATTTATAAAAACAAAATCGTACATAAAAACAGAGATGTACAAATCCCAGGAGCTCCGTGTGCTCCTTACATATGACAGCTGCCTCCTAATTTTTGAATTTTTCTCTAGTCTAGCCTTGGAGCTCAAAAGTATCGGTACATGTACTTGTACTTGTACCGAGTACTGTACTTGGTATCTGTGCAACCCTAATAATTATATAATATTTAATTGTACAAAGTTGACTTTAAAATGGCTTTTAGGATATAGCTATAGCACAAAGTCCCACATAAAAGACAATTAGATTCATGTCTGCATAAAATATGCTCATAATCTGTTTGTCAGAGAGGAAAATAACTGCCCTGAGATAAGTTTAATGGTTCATTTACACCATCTAAGTTGGAGCTTCGCTGGTCATTGTTTCCAGTGCAGCCCCAACGCATGACAAGGCAATCGGATGCTGTGATGGGAATGCGTTGTGTGCACTGAAAAAAAATATGGCAGGCTGTTCTCTTTTCAGTGCAATGGGATGCGAGGCGATAAAACCACCCCACACCCCCAATGTGATTGGAGAACTAAATGAAATGTGTTCTAGCAAAAAAATTACAGAGTTTGATGCACTGGGTTCAGCGCTTCAGCACTGTGCCCTGTGAAATGGCGTGAATGGGCCCTTACTAAAGCTGGTCATACACATTTAAGATGTGGTTGGCCCTGTCAGCACAATCCAGCTTGACAAATGTTTATTTTGTTCAATTAATTTTTGTCAAAGGACTTAGGGGTAAAATTGTCAACCAAATATTGACAGAATCCAATCAGATGTAGTCACTGTTCAGGTAATCAGTATCTGCTGGTCCTGCCAGCTGCTGAATACAGTAGCCAGCAGGGAAGAATTCTTAACCTGAGCTGTTTAGCTTGGATGGGGAATTAATAGATTTTTTCACTCAGTATGCGGGGCTGAAGAAGAAATCTAAAGGTGTATGGCTAACTTTAGAGTGACTCTTGCATTTCCTTTTGCTATCCCAACAGTACTGTGCACAGATGCTTTTATAAGGTCTTTATTGCACCCTGTCCCAGCTCTCCAGAAATCCCTAGATAGCAGCTGTGAAACTATGTGTAAAAATCAGTTCTATGCTATGGCAGTGAACTTTCAGCCAGCAGAAAAAAAAATGATTCCAACCAATTAGCAACAGAGGAATGGCGTCCCTGCATCTAGGTAGACTTACTACACAAACACACTCTGCAATCCTTCAAATCAGACATCTTGTTGTTTTATACACAGAGTCTGACAGCTGCTGTCTAGGGATTGTGAGAGAGCCATGACCGGTGCAAAGAAGAGATGAGATAGCAAGATCATTATCAAGAGACCCTTTGAAGCTGAACTCCAGGCAGATAAATGAATGCAGCCCTGTATTCATTAATACAGCGTGAAATGTACTGTATTTTTTAAGTGCGAACAGTTCAATAACCAGAATATCTACATTGGTTCCTTATGCAGAAATGCATTTATCACAATGTAATTCGACCATGGAAAATGCAACTGACAGTGAAAAAAAATGTTGGAATGGTTTACCTCTATATGTTTCAGAGATTCATACAAGGACACTGAGCTGCCCCTGCCTGCCTTCTTTGTCAAGTGGAAACCACGATCAGACTGTTTGCTTAGCCTCCTGCTTCCTTTTCCTGTGGTCAGGTTTCTGCCCATATCTCCCTTGGTATAATGACTACCAGACACTGAACTTTCAAGTTCCTAAAACGAAGCAAGTATACAGAAACATATTGACTATATGATAGTAATTCATGGATTAGCCTTCTTCGTCTCCCCCCCCCCCCCCAAAAAAAAAAAAAAACTCTTCAACATGAATAAAAACATAGCCAAGCTTGTACTTCCACCTTGCTGAAGCAATTGATGATACACAAATGCCCTAAACAAAGAAAGAATAGACAAGTTTCCAAACTGTTTTTAGAGAGATAAATAGAGAGATGAATTGATGATAGACAGATAGATAGATAGATAGATAGATAGATAGATAGATAGATAGATAGATAGATAGATAGATAGATAGATAGATAGATATCTGTTGGTCAGTGGCATTAGTACCATAAGACCCTAAGCAAATTCGTTTTTTACTCCTGCAACAGGCAATCTGTGGATAAAAACATTCCTGTGTTGAGATATAAATATGCACCCACTGGGCAATCAATCATTTTCCAAAAATGACATAGTTGTCAAAGATGACAGGAATCTCACTCATTCAATATGGTTAGATGTCTAATTATTTTCTATTAGCCAGTTTACATTTATGGAATTGCCTCATTTATGCATCTACTGCTCTTGTTATAAAGCTTAATGTACATCCAGCCCAGTATATAGATGGGGAAGGATTTGTTCTATCACAAGTTCCCCTGTCTTATAAGCTAGAATGAAATACGTAAACAACCGAAACACCACCAACTAATCTACTGTAAGTGTCTTGAAGGTTGAGAAATGCTGCGCTAAGCTAAGGGAAAATTAATTGCAAAGTAAACATTTTTGTCTTTCTGCCTTTAGTAAATCAACCATATAGTATTCAGTGGCAGGGTATTCATATTACATGGTGCTATAGGAACAGATTTAGATAGCAGAGTTTGCACCTACAACTGTTGACTACTTGCCTAGCTTACCACACCTCATTTTCTTCTTTACAGCCACCAATCACTAATCATGGTTTAGGACAGTGGTTCTTTCTTTTCTAGCACTAAACAAACCAAACTTGGTTCACCAAGCCTTAATTAATGATAACACATACACATGATACAACAAACTTGAAACATAATGTTGCAATAAATACTATATGGTTAGTTTACTAAAGGCAAAAATGGGCACTTTGCAAGGGAACGTTCCCTTCTAAAGCTGGCCATACACCTATTTCTGCAGATTTTCTGTGGTCAGATGGAAAAAGTGCAACAAATTCCTCTATCTATGCTAAACTGTGTGGATGGAGGAATCTCCCACTGGGCCAACCTTCAGTATCTTACTAGTCGGCCCCACTGGCTGTCAAAATACCTTAGCAATCTGACTGGATGCAGGCATCATTCAGGTTTCAGAAAATCTATAGGTGTATGGCCAGCTTTAGTGCAGTGTTTCTCAACCTTTTTCAAGTTACGGCACCCTGTAAGGCCTTGTTCACACCAAGCGCGTTCCAGGAGCAGAGCAGATCTGTTACAGACCAGATAAAAACTGCGTCCAATGTATTCCAATGGTATTTTGGGCTCTAGTTCACACCGCAGCGTTCAGTTCCAGAGCATATAAAAAAAACTGCAGCAAGCCCTATTTTACCTGCTCTGGAACTCATGCAAACGCATCAAAAACGCATGCAAACGCCCTGGAACACGCTGAAAGCCCATTTTAAACAAAAACAATTTTTTTTTAACCAAAGTGGCCAGGAACGCATCAAAAACGCAGCCAAAAACGCGGCACAACCCACTGCACTGCGTGTGCAGAATCTCATGCAGAACTGGTCTGCATTTGGTGTGAACAAGCCCTAAAAGTATGCAAAGCCTTAAGGCACCCTAGTGTAAATTATGAAAGAGTAAATGCAAAAATGAAAAAAATGACTACCCCCCCAAAAAAAAGTGACTACCCCAAAAATCTATATTAGAAACTTATCCTAGATAGGGGTCTGGTATGGATTTGTGTGCACCTCACAAAAAAAAAACATAGAGTTCACCCTCCTCTCTTTCACATCAGAAGCCCCCTCTTGCCAACAGGAGTCATGTCAGAATCCCCTTTCCCCTTTTCACATTAGGAGACCACCTTCACATCAGAGTCCTCAGTCTTCCCCTTCACATCAGAGTCCAAACCTAATATTCTACACCACAGTGCGGCGTCAGGGACATGACAGAGAGTGGAAGTGGAGGAGGTCTGAATTCTGTCCTCTACTGAATGCTGGAGTTTGTCCTGGATGCAGCTCACCCAGGATCACTGTCATACATTTTCATGGTGCTGGTAGCCACGTCGTCTGCAGCATGGAAATGCATGACATTATGTGAAAATTTGAAGGCACTCCTGATAAAGCCGGAAACCTTTAGTAAATCCATATATATATATATATATACACACATACATACAATTTTGCCAGATGCCGCAGAAATACATGGTTGCAACAAACTTTACAAGGATTCATGTTTTTATATTTAATTATGCACTGTAACTAACTGGTAATACTGTACGTTGACTATTTTGCTAGCATTTGTCCTCTCACTCTCCAGAAGGATTGTGATGATAATCATAGAGCTTAAGATGATTTACAAACTGATTACAACTGTAGGTTAATGAGGCTCCGTGGGACTTCCTGAACATACTCCAACAATTTCCAATCAATTTATTTTAGAATAGGCAGAGATGCACTCCTTTATCAGTGGCGTAACAACCGGGGGGGCAGCAGGGGCGCGGGCCCCGGGCGAAAAGTGAAGGGGGGGCGCCGGCCGAAAATGGCACTTTCGGCTAAATGCCGAAAGTGACATTTTCCTGCCGTTTTGTCGGTGCGGCCGTGATTCCTTTCATCCCCGCTGGGACACAAAGCAGTGCCCAGCAGGGATGAAAGGAATCAGAGAGAAAATTACAGCCGGCCGAGCGCGTTGATTTTATATAATGGGGGGGGGAGGGGCGGAAAAAAAAATTCTGCCCCGGGCGCCCAGAACTCTGGTTACGCCACTGTCCTTTATCATTACTTGAATGAAAAACAAATTCCATTCAAACAGATAATAATACATATACATAGCTACATTATCAGCTTTACATGTTTATAGTACAGCAATTTAACTATTAACTCCCCAATAAAGAAAATACAGTTGCAAGAGAAAATTATGTGAACTACCAATGGTTTCTACATGATTTGTTCCTAAAACATGGTTTGATCATACGTGGAGTTTTGTAAGATCGATTCCTAAAACATAGTCTGATCTTTATATAAGGACTAAATAATAATTACAGCTCCATTTAACATACAACACATAACACTTCACATTGTAAAACCTTCACTAAACAGTTTAAACAATGAAGGTCAAGATGGAAAAAGCATGTCAATTCTTGGGTTATAACATCTTGAAAATAGTGTAAATGGAGTAATTGCAATCAATAAATTCAAAGTGTTGATTAAAGCTGCACTTCCATAAAAACAGCCAGAAAGAGTTTGGTTACTGGCAGAGTCTGTTTCACCTCAGTAAACTTTGCCCGGCTCAAAAGACATTTCAGATGACGAGACATAGAACAATTGGAGAAAGATTGCTAAGGCTACAAAACAGAAAATAGACAATGCTGATAGCCACACCCCCTGCAACATTTTTCTCATCCCAATGTAGTGCAAGCAGGAACAGCCTACATGAAAGTGGCTACTCTGCTCTGAATTCAGGAACAGTGCAGCATTGTTGTCACATCATTACAGGAAGCTGCATTAGGTGAACTTCACTGGCAGGATTAACTGGAATTTGTAGAAACTATGCTGGCTACAAAGTCTCTTGTTGGAGGAACCATGTCTGACCGATGTATCAACACAGGTCATATGATCTGCCACCATAGAAAGCATAAAGACCCATTTTGATGGGATAACATTGTTTGTTCACAGCCAGTGTTAGCTTATTATTTTTTATACAATTCAGCACGATAATTAACATATTTCATATTTCATTTTAAAGTACAGGTCCATTTTAAAGCAGTGCTCTTCAAGGTGTCCCTCAATTTCCCAGTGCAAACTGGGTCTAGGATCCAAAGGGCTCCAAAATCTGCTATATTTGCAGATTAACACAAGTTTTTGCAAGTACTACAAGGTGCTTGCCCTTGAACAGTGATGGCGTAACGGATGGGGGAGGGGGCAGGCACAGCTGGCTCTGCCTCTAGATAGGCAGAGCCAGCTGTCAATCACAAAGCTGGGTGGATCTCAACAGTAATATCGGGATCCGTCCTGGGTGCGGCGTCTCAGTATACCGCAAGCTGTAGCTCGCGATATACTGAGGTTTGGGTCACGGGAGGACGCTAGTTTATGTCCTCCCGTGACCTCTAGGAGAACTATTGGAAAAGGAATGACCCTATAGTTCTCCTTTAAGGCAGTACAGAATAAAAACAATGTGCAAAATTCAGTACCCCACTGAAATCAATCAGATTTATGTTAAGTACAATCAAAGAAAGATACATTCTGGCTGGATGCTATGAGATATGTAACATTTTTCTTTGGTATACTGAATAAAATTGCATGTACTTGAAATTAGTTTTCTGGTATGATGAGCTTAAAAAGAACATGCTAGAAACATTTATCACATCAAAAATCTCTGCTCGCCAATTACACCAATGTCAGTCCGGCACATTGTGATTTGCAGGTTTTGTCTAAGTGAATTGCACAGGATTGGTGCCCCTATCAGAAGCCTTTACATGGTATTCACTAGTAATTGTTCACCAGCTTTACAAGAGATCATAAGAAAGAGGACTATTTGAGCATACCATAGCTTTTATATACCGCACATACCGCATTTTCAGCTCTGGCTGATATGACTCTGCTGTGAGGGCCAAGATCAAATATTCTGCTCAGCCAGACTTCTTCACAGTTCTTCAAAGAGCTTTCGATTGTCAAATCTCTCATTGCTCGTTGCACTGTCATCCTGACATCTCCTGTGTGTTCTAAAGAAACACAGATCAGAACGAATTTGGTCAGCGTAAACGTAAACATAAAAGAATCTTTGCATGTAACAGCACAATTCTTACTGACAAATTCTTTGTTCATTATGTTTCTGAAATAATACACCAAAAAAGATTAACCCTTTATAGAGAGTCTGTTATGAAATCAGATACCTGTCTCAGAATTCTCTGATGTAAACAGCCATTCTTCACTAAGTTTGATTAATGAATGGAAGTCCCATCACTTTCTTCTTGTTAGTAAATGGGACCTAGAACCAAGTTTTTGTGCTGTGCCATCTGTCACTAGCACTCCTGTTTACTTTTGCTGTCTCCCAAATGGTGTACAGTTTATTCCAGCAGTTCATTTCAGTGTTTCTCCTGTCTGAACTCCCAACAGTGCCACTGTGCTAGCTGCCAGATCAAAACCCTGCTCTCCTCTTCTGTCATCGTTTCTATCAGAGCTTCAGCACTCACCGGTACTGCTCATTCTGTCTACCTCCAATGTCCCAATGTATTCTACTTCTCTCATTTAGTTTTAAAAGCAGAATATTGCTTTGAAGCAACTCTAGAAATTACTAAATATCACCAATAAACACATTACCAACTTTCCCAGCACTTGGAGAGCAGATGACATTTACTGACAGCACAGACCGCACAGAATTAAATCATGTACAACTCCCATTGCACCAAGGAAAGGTATCTCTTTCTGATTTATATCTGCCTTATCATGAAAATCTAACGAGGGGCCATGGGCAAGAGCTAAGATTCAAATGTATGAACATTTACCAGGTAGGAGAACAGAATTCTTTTTAGCAAAACGTTTTCAGTTATTGCACTGAATTTCAATATGTAACATGGACATTTTACACACATTTTGTTTTGGGGAGTTTTTTTCCCATTAAAATTACTTCTGTTACATACTTTGTAAATCCATTGCTAGTAAGTCACCCAAGGTCATGGCCTTCAAGCTTTCTGCAGTTACACGGAGCATTCCCCCTGTCTGACGAACAAGCTGTTTCCAGTGTCTTGTTCTCATTGCAGGGTTGCTGAGGTCTTCTATTAGTGGCAAGGTCAACTGCAAAAAGGAAATCAAAAACTATAAATATAGCAAAGCTTGCTTCAAACAGCTAGAAATGTTACTTTTAAGATTACAGCCTACTTCTATGAACATTTACAAATCACAATAAAATTATTTTAAATTAAACAACCTCCTATAACATGTATACAAATAGGTCTGCTTAGCTACTAGAACTAAGCAAAGGTGTTTTACCTGATAAATATATGAGTACCAGGGTATGAAACAGGTAAGGATGAAAAGTATCAGCTAGGGGCAATTTGCTCTAGGTTTCTAAAAAATACATCCCTAGCTATGTTTGATAATTCTTTGATTTGCCCTTTTGTGTTGTCTGGTGCTTGGCCAAACTGAATTACTGACTCTATATACAATTTGTGCATATAAAACCTTTTAAGCTGAGTTAACTTACATTCATAACATTCACAGCTTCCAACACCTGCCTGTAAACATCCCATTCTTGGACTTCTCTAGGAAGAGACTGCAGATTGGCTTGCTGCTGTCTGGTTCTCTGTTGCAGTTCCCCAGTATCCATATCATGCCACAGTTCCTTTTTCCAGATGTCTTGCTCTTTACAGATTGAATCTACATGCTGCCACACAAGGCTTAGGTTCTGTAGGAGCTCACCACAGCTATGATAGATACATGAAATTGTATCAGGAAGAGTAAATTCAGATGTTAGTCCAATATTAACAGGGTTATTCACAAAAGGGTGAAGAGTTTGGAGAAGGCAGGAGAAGTGAACAATCTAGGACAGTGATGGCGAACCTTGGCACTCCAGATGTTTTGGAACTACAAGTCCCATGAGGCATTGCAAGGCTCTGACAGCCACAGACATAACTCCCAGAGGCAGATGCATTTTGGGATTTGTAGTTTTGGCACAGCTGGAGTGCCCAGGTTCGCCACCACTGATCTAGGACAACGTAGCTGAACTGGAAAGGGAGCTGAATTGGAGATTTTTTCCAAATCAGCTATTCTGGCCTAGATTGTTCACTTCTCCTGCCTTCTCTAAACTCTGTAAATCTTTTTCACCTTGTGAAATGAAAGCAGCTCATAACAAGCAACTCTTTATACAGGGTATCACTTAAAGGTGTTTACAAACATTAAGGAGTCACCATAGGTACACATTTTAGGAGGTACTTAAGGAAGCTTCTCAATACAATAAATAGTATAAGAAGATGGAGAATCACAGACTTGAACAAAGAAGGAGTAAGAATTGTAAATCTCTACTTTGGTACATGCAATGCAGTGGGAAACCATTGGTGGTAGACTCACAGAACTGTATTCATGCAATCAACAAATGCTATTACCACTATATTAAGGTGACATTTCTACATCCATAGTCTATACTTGGTATATGTGGTAGAAACAGCTTACTTCATCTCTTGCTGGCACCATTTAAATCACAAGAGAATAAATAAACAAATTCAGGTTTGCAACATGTATGAACTAGCAATAGATTGTATTCCTACAAACAGAAGTACAATACAAAAATACAAGTCGAACATCACATACTTATTTAAAATTGAGAAATCCACAACTGTCGTTTCAAGAAGCTCCTGCAGCTCCTTTAAGTCTTTAGCTTCTTTTTGCAAAACTTCAAGATGCATGTTAAATTCCTCTATGATGCCAAAGGCTTCCTGTGCTGTACATTCATACTTGTAGACTTCAGAATTCTCAAGGTCAGAACCAAGCGTGTCAAGTTTATGCTGAAACATTTCTAAATCCTAAAATTAATATTAAGATAATGTAAATAATATCTCGAAAGTAAAAGAAAATTAAACAGTAAATAATTAAAGATAATGTTTTCATTCATATTATACATAGCAGTGGGTTGTGGAACCGGAAATCCTAGTGTGTACATCATGTGAAGTGTGTATACTTATTTATAAATTGTTTAATTAATGAAAAGGGTTGTGTACATGCACTGGGAAAACGTCTCTGTCTCATTTGGGCCAAGTATGACTACCCTAAGTGGCACAAGGAGGGTGAAGCATTTGTAGAAAATCCCATTATGGAGAGGACTTTTCTAAGCTGACTCTTCAAATGAACAAAAAAGACAAGTTCAGAAACTCACTCAGATCTTATACTGTAATTTTAAAGTTATTGAGCAATGGTGATGACCCACATTATAAAGTGCTGTTCATTTTGTGGCTATGGCACAGGTATATATCAACGTATTCATAATAACATCAAAATTTATGACATTATATACAAGCAAGATGATCTATTATTTTCAATTAATTTAGGACAGCTATATTTTCCTCAAGACATCAGCAGGATATTATTATGTAATTTTCCATAACACCGCTTAACCCACTCAAAATAGCATATACAATTCAAACTCTGGATTACAAGCAACAGCTTCATTTAAAAGTACTCTTATAATTAAATTGGATTGACCTCTTCCAAACATGTAGATTTTGCATTAAAATAGTATCTAATTGTAAAAACCTTTAAGTTTCACTCATTAATCTTAACCCCTCAACCCTGTAATGAGAGGAGTGCTCTTATAGATACTTAAAAGGCAAGAGTGGAGATTAAATACCAACACAGGAGATCAAATCTTTTTTGTTAAATTCACACCATCAGAGCATTTTATTCTCTTGCAAATAGTATGCTTCTGAGATCATAACAAAACACGAAACAGCGCTAGTCAGCATCAGGCACAAAAGTATCTATCTCCTCATCTACAGCCTTACTATAACTGATTTCGTAGTGGGCCTCTTTTACAAAGTAGGCCCTAATGAAAGTGGTCTGTTTGCAGAGCCATTGAATCTCCCCATTTCCTTTTGTTCCTCCTCCAGTTTGTGTTATGCAAGTGTGGACTGCCCTAAAATAAAATTATTTGTATAGTTTTTGAACCACGCAAAACCCTCTTACTAAAGGTACTCCTGTACTTTTTTAGCTCAAGAGAGTCAAGGATAATTATATTTTTATTTCACAAAACAAAATGGGCTAGTCTGCACAAGTTATTCATAATATCTGCTTACTTAGAGGAATCTATGATAGCAACATCTTTAGACAAGCTTTAAGCATGTCACAATTACCAGGAGTGTCCAACAAAATTAACAATGCTTCTTTCTATATTAGTTAGACCAAAGACATAAATGCATATCATAAACATTGTACCCCTTTCATACCATACAACATAAGCAATTTTTTTCAGGTATATGGTATTTAAATGTACTAAATTCAAATATTTATAAAGCCATATTGATCACCTCCATCAGCATCAGCATTCTACTCTGTATGGTTATCCTGCCCAGTTACACAAGTTTACTAGAAACATTACGGGATTGAGTCACTAAGTTATAATAATTAGGGATGATTGTCACTGAACCTCCTGAAGTCTCTGGGAGGTGAAAGTAGATTTTTTAATTTCAGGCCCTTTTTCAGTGCTAATAGGTTAGGTAGGTTACTGTTGGAAAAATTACCTGGGGAGAGGGTGGGGTGGACATTGCCAGGGAGACATGTTTAAATGCAAAGATGAATCTGAATGCAGGTGAAAGGGCAACAGTGAAAATACACAAATTCTTCAAATAACATACTGAGTGGGTGCGTTAAAGCTACATATGGTATCTAAGCGCCTCCCGCCTCCTTGCAATTCATTATGTCCCAAAGTTGAGGAACTAGGGGCACTTTTGACATCTGGTTCCCTATTAAAAATGTGGGGGTTATCGGGGGGGACTTACAGAGGAATCTGGATTGACCCAAACCTGAATTTCCTCCAACAGTCATCATTGTTTTCTATAACAACCATTATTTAAGCAATGAGTGCCAATGCAAGCTAAAAATAATCATTATTATGGCACAAACACATGCATTATACATTATCAAATTGAGCCTTATGCCTGGTTTCACAAAAATGTTTGCTGTGTATTCTAATAATATGTCTCTGTAGACACAAGAAATATGCATTAACCAGAAATTGTGCTAATGGATGAAACTCTACCTTGGACACAATGTCAGCTTCTTGTTGTATTCGTGGACCCAGACGTTGCTTGGCAAGAGAAACTTTGGTCTTCATAGTGTTCCAGCGTGCTGGCATTGTCTTATAGAGGACTTCACACTCAGAGGGAAGAGTCATGTCATGCTTTCCTAACAGACTCTCAGTCTTCTGTAAGATTGCAAACTGCACCTCCATTTCTGCTTGTTTGGATGACACCTAGTGTAATGCAGAAACAATGGCACATATTAAGAAAAAAACTGGAGAAATGTTGTCCTTAGCAACCATTTAGATACCAACCTCACCTAAAACCTCATTAATTCCCAAGTACAGAAAATTATGCTGTCAACCGTAGAGTAGGAATAGAGCAGCAGTGATCACATCCATAACAAGTCCACGCTGTGTGCATAATCAGTCAAAGGTCCTATTACCCCTAGGTACAAATATTCCATTCTACTTTCTAAGCCACCTCACTTTATTAAGGAATGGTACACATCTTTAATTCTGACCACTTGATCAGCACAAAAAGATAATACACTTAGTTCCAGTCAACTTATAAGCATAAAGAAGTTACCCTTCTAAATTACCCTTCTCTCTTCTTTTGTAATGGGAGTTGATGCTAGCTACCTGAGGCACAGGAAAGAAGGAAGGAGGAAAGGGAGGGTAAAAGGGAGAAGAGGAACTTTACCCACCAATTTAATGTCTTCCGAAATAGTTACATTGAAGGAATGCCAACTATCAAGGCAACCAGTGTGTTTATTTCAGCTCTCAATGGAACTTTCAAAACCTCGAATGGCTGGCGTCATAGCTGATCGCTGTGCAGCACCATGGCAACTGCAATCTAAATAGAGGCTAAGATGGCTCCTCCCTTGGCTGTAATTGATAGGAGGGTGTAGCTCCACATTACGACAGGAAGAAAGGGAGGAAGGAAGGAAGGAAGGAAGGTGTGAAAGAGGAAGGGAACAACTAAGGAAGAGAAGGAAATAAGAGCATTTTATAACATTGTATCTTAAATTAATGGAATATTGACAATTAAACTATTGTAATGAAACTATTAAAGTGTTATAGGATAATATGGACTAGAAAATTTCCCTTATATTACCGCCCTACTTTTTATGTAAGAGGAGTTGTGTGCAAAGGTAATGCTACCTGAGTACCTGAGTACTTGATGTACAAGCACAGGGAAGAAAGGAAAGAAATGAGGAAAGAATTAAGGAAGGGAGGGTAGAAGTAATAAAGAAAGGCAGGCAGGCAGACAAAAGGGAAGGAAGGCAGGAAGCAAAGCATGTACTTTACACTGCAAAATTAGAGCATTATATTGAGGTCAGCTCTGGGGATAAACTCTTTCTGAACAATGCATAGCTGGGTAAAACTTTGAGGCTTCTATTCTATAAGAAGTGACAACACACATTTCTTAAATAATTTCACAGTATGTTTCCCACAAAGAAGCTCAAGCTATGTGTTAACAGTGACAGCGTTGTGCATTAAATTGGACACTCTAAAAAGCTGTGCTCCTGAGTACAAACAAATAGCTGATTTTGGAAGATCAAAGCGGTCATGCAATACTGTGATGACCTGTGATGCAGAGCTTTACAGTATGATGAAGCCAGAGTTTGTACTTTAGGTATATTCACTAGTCACTCATGAGAACTGGCAACATATCCCCAAACGACAATCTATTCTCTAATGAATGTGTGCTGAGGGCAAGACTTGATGTATGATTGGACTAAAGGCCAGCCAGTACTAATTGTAGTCACATCCAGTTATGTTAAACAGATCACATTAACGCAAACAAAACAGGTCAACAGAAAAGAACTCTTTAACTCCTGCCAACAGGACTGATACCTCATTTGTTTAATTATAGCACAAATAAACATGCCTCGCTGAGCTGATTCGCTCAGGCTTTGTACTCATGCAACATTGAAGAAATTATAGTTTAATGTACGGAAAATGAGATAACAAGAGTTTTCATTTAGATTTCAAAAGAGGCTTTTTTTCTGGCATTAACAGTTTATTTAATATTGTGCAGGATGACAGTAAAGTGAACTTTGTGTTCAAGTGTATATAAAATGCCTATGAATAATATTTATACCATTATATGAATCTCATCCTTCATGGAACGTACTGTATATACAATCTCATGCACACTGTGGTCAACTTATCCAGCCGCACAAAAAAAAACAAATAGTTTAAAACAGGAGCTTGTATTCATGGAATGAGTACTACGGTAAAACTGACAGTACAGTGTATATTGTTTAAATGCCTCATATATGTTAGGGAAAGTTTCAGCTTAGTTTCTGGAACAGAATGTACAAGTCTAATCCAAGATTTAGTGAAAAATTTATAATTTCAAGAAAAAAAACTACCGAACCACTGCCAGTTTGAACCACTGCCAGTTTTCTATATACGTGCAAGCAATTGAAGCAATTGAAAAGAATGTCCAAGGACATGGTTTTACAAGACAACAGTTATTACATTTATACAGTGATAGACATGTTCATTTAACTAGGGAAGCAAAGGTTACACAAAATAGATCATAATTCTTATATTGCATACAACATAGTGATGACTTATGTCAGCCTTGCTGTTTAAAACATCCATACATTAAACAACATGCTGAAGGGAAGGTCAAAATTAACATATTACTTGAAGATGTAAAGAAGAACAAGTTTCTCTATCCTACCTCATTAAAAAGGCGCATCATCTTCATGAATGATCCTGTATCTCTTTCCTCTCCAGTAATGCTTTCGATACGGGGTTCTGTTCTTCTCAAGAAGGAATCCAAATTCCTTAATGTAGCAGATGTCTAAAAATGGACCATGGGAAGTAAAATACCTAAGGTTCAGCTCAAGGCAAATAGAACATTACAATATTGTACATGGATTTATACTGCTGTCCTGCCAGACAGCGACTACTCAAACAAAACAGCAGGATCACTTCTCTAAACCCCTGCCTATGATTGGACAGAGAAGATGGAGAAATGGAGGGATAAAGTCATCTTTCTGCTTTCCTCTCCTGGCAACTTGTTCCGTGTGAGTACATGTACATACAGTGCACCTGATTGGCCCAAAGAGCACATGTACATACAGCACACCTGATTGGCCCTAAGAGCACATGTACATACAGCACACCTGATTGGCCCTAGTAGCACATGTACATACAGCACACCTGATTGACCCTAGTAGCACATGTACATACAGCACACCTGATTGGCCCTAACAGCACATCTACATAGTGCATACTTGATTGCCCCTAAGAGCCCATGTACATACAGCACACCTGATTGGCTCCAAGAGCTGCCCATTCCTCTCCCAGTCTGAGTGCTACTGTACAGGGGATTACAATATAACCAATATAATGCAGTCAATATTAGCTGTATTTAATTAAGAAATACTGACTAGTCTTTCTGGAGTAGCTTCAATGTTTGCATTTTCTGTTCATAAAACACTGTACTATATAAATGCAGGAATAAATATACCAGATCAAAAGAACATCATAGAAAAAGTACAAAGTACATCTGTGTTGGGGATCTCATGTCTTTAGCATTGGATGCAAACTCAGACCCCTTAGTAGAGTCACACTATAGCATTAAAAATGTTGTGTATACATTTGTGTCATTATCCCCATTTCATTGTGTTTTGCTAAAGTAAAACCGAAGCCAAAATTTATTGTTATAGTTTTGGATAGAGTGAAGAGGAATTAGAACAGTTTTTATTGATGCCTGCGTCCCCATAAGGGAGATTTACCCCCTCAATTTGTCATGGTGACCAATATCATTCAAAGTGAAAGGAAATCCCAAATGTTGGGCTGTCATCAGAAGAAGAATAGAAGGTAAATCTTCCAATGGGTACATTAGTTCTGGTGACCTTGATGACTACCAGGGATTTCCCTCTATTTGAAATAATTTCCTCTTACTTCCTGTTGTGGCTTTCTGACAGGAAGTGAAGGGAAAGCTTCCCAATTGGACAGAGAAACAAAAAAAAAAGTGGACAGGGATTATAGCCCTCCCTTACGCTATCAAAAACTAAAAAAAAAAGGTTTTGGCTTCACTTCAACTTTAGGTTTTACTAGATTTAGTTGTGTTTTTAGCTTTGTGTAAAATACACAGCAGAACATGTGCTAAAATGCAGTATTGCATAAAGATATATAGTGTGAACCAAATATAACAGCTGGTGGAAGGGGAGCATAGGAGTTGCACTGACAATAGTTTTAGCACAGAAAGTAACAATAGGTTACTCTGACATGTGTGAGGCCAGAATGACAATAATGTACCAGCACATCATCAATGACCATCTTTGAGCACAGACACTGACCCACCTACAGTCCAAGTAAACATTTGTATAAAATGTGTGGTTTCTATATTATCAATATTTAGTCACCTGGTCTATGAGGCATTTTGTAAATGTCCACATCCACTTTAGGGCATAGGCAGAAAGAACCTGCTTAACAGGTCTAAAGTCCACGTGAATCCACCTGCATTGCTGATGATCTGGAAGTCCCTGGATGCTGTCCCTGACAGCCTGTTATGAGAAAACAATAGGAAAAAAGCTATAAAGGGATGTTATTTCATGAGCAATGGCAAGGATAAACACCTTGATTCCATTTTTTGTAAGGTAACAGAGATACAATGTCAAATCAAATATGTTTATATTAAAATCACTTATATAATAAGATTTTACAATCAGCGAGAAGCACATGTGAATTTCACACTAACCTTGGATGCTGAAATTTCAGAATCAAAGTCATCTAGAAGAGGGCCATGCATCATGTGTACGCTGAAATCCCTGGGCAAAATGAATGCCCTTTCTGCCACAATCAATGGATTGCTCTGTGGCTTCGCTGAAAGGTCGCTAAACAAGATTGCATATATATATATTAAAAAAAGTCTACCAGTGATTTGACATTCATTAAATATTATAGACATAATTACCTTTAGTCATCTGCCACACACTGCAAAAAGATACATTGTATTATAGAACACTACCTACTATAACAAATTCTATGGGTAGTTTGAGCCTCTTTTGCAATAGAGACCAGAATTTACAATACATATAACATTATTCCTGTGCAGAAACCCTTAGCAAGCATTCATGTCTTAGCATGCTGCAGTTCAGTGAAATAAGAATTCTGATTTTTTTTTAGCTATGTCCTTTTTTTAAAAACCAGTTAAAAGAGTGTGACTTGTGTGACGACACGGTGATGAGTTTATAAGTTAAATGTGTATTGGGGTTGAGTTATGTTTGAGTGCGTTATACTGAGTGACCTGGTTATGGAAAAACCATCAGCACCATCCCTCGTTATCTCCCATTGTTCTCTGAGGGAGCTCAGTACAATGAACTTCTGGCCAGGCTACTGCTATGGCTGTCTGGAGCTATTTAGCAGGTGGACACCTGTGGTGTTGTGAAGACAGGATTTCTGGGAGGGGGAAGGTGGATGTGATGGGATTATATTCTGATCTGATCACTTTCTGTATAAAAGTTTGTGCAGTTTCTCAATAAACCAGAGTTTGTTTCACCTACACTCGAGCCTTGGCTAGTGACTGGGGAAACTGGGAGTTAAGGATCTTCAGGTTGCAATATCTCCTCAGCAAGGAAGAAGACAGCGGTGGACATACTCATCCTGAGTATGGGGGTCCGTCACATTGGTGGCAAGCGGTGGGATGCTCTTCCTTGCCTAAGGAGACATTCAAACCACCACCGGGACCAAGTTTGCTGCTGACATAGGAGAAGAACAGTTGCCTACGGCCATGGAAGCGCTGGCCCAGCTCGACAACCCTGGTTCTGCCCAGGATATGCTGGGAAGGAGAGACGCTTTGCGTCGGGAGATCTGGAGGGAGACTCTTCAATTGCAGCAGCACTATTGTGGCAAGGTCCTCCCTACATCCAAGGAACGATACTGGCTGCAATGGGACTTTCGTTTGCCTTTCCTGGGAGAGCAGCCCAGGGAGGAATGGCTTCCGGAGCTGGATTGGTAGGTCCAAACAGAACTGATGCTGGATGACGGGTACCGGGCGCTGCAGTGGTATGTCACCCAATTGTGTCCATGGCTGGAGAACAACGATCCCACAGAGGGCTATGACTTCGGCGGCCCGGGACTTATATTTGAGGCGCTCCAGGAGGATCCACAATTTGGGAGTGCACAGTAGTGGAGGTGGGAGGACATACGTGATTTTAGGGAGGTGGAACACCCCCGTGAGCTCGGATTGAGGGCTGATTTGGACTTTTTAGTCACACAAGAATGGGAGCTGGAACACGCATACAAAAGACTGTTCCACATTGCTCAACAGCATGCCCCAGCGACCACAGATGTTTTGGAGCTACTAACCCCAGCTGAAGAGCTGGAGCTACTAACCCCAGCTGGCATCAGGGCAGAGTGCTGCTATCCTCTGCCCAGCACCAAATGCACCTCTGGAGCTCCAGGGAGCCGAGGCAGGTAGCCCCTCTCCCCATCAGCAGGTCAATGCAGAGGAACTACTAATCCCAGCTGAAGAGCTGGCAACAGAGTGCCAGGGAGAAGAGGCAGTCAACCTCTCTCCCCAGTGGCAGATCAGCAATCTGGGAGAGGAGGTGGTCGTCCTCCCTCCCCAGCAACAAATTGGGATACAGGAAGAGGAGGTGGTCGTCCTTCCTCCCCAGCAGCAGAGGCAGGATGTCCTTTGGGTGGAATATGTGGACTGGGACCCAATTAGACTACCTTTGGTGGGGAAAAAATGTTATGAAACCCACCGTGACCTGGGCTCATGGAGGGGGCTGGCGGCCAGCCTCCTTCCCAGTGACTATGGACCTAGGATTAAGGAGACCCCCCTTGTTTGTTTGAACTGGGTGTCCGGGACCAATGGACAGCTGTTGTGGTGGAGCCTGGCCCTACAGCCCTCCAACTTCACAATTCGGCTCTGGAGACACAATGCCAATGCTGATGGACTATCCCGCCAAACAGAACTGGAAGGGTGACTAACAGCATGGACATCCCCAAGTGGACCCGTAGAGGGTCTCACCGGGTCTGCCATCCTTTAACTTGGGGGAGCTATGTGATGACACGGTGATGAGTTTATAAGTTAAATGTGTATTGGGGTTGAGTTATGTTTGAGTGCGTTATACTGAGTGACCTGGTTATGGAAAAACCATCAGCACCATCCCTCGTTATCTCCCATTGTTCTCTGAGGTAGCTCAGAACAATGAACTTCTGGCCAGGCTTCTGCTATGGCTGTCTGGAGCTATTTAGCAGGTGGACACCTGTGGTGTTGTGAAGACAGGATTTCTGGGGAGGGGGAAGGTGGATGTGATGGGATTATATTCTGATCTGATCACTTTCTGTATAAAGGTTTGTGCAGTTTCTCAATAAACCAGAGTTTGTTTCACCTACACTCGAGCCTTGGCTAGTGACTGGGGAAACTGGGAGCTAAGGATCTTCAGGTTGCAATATCTCCTCAGCAAGGAAGAAGACAGCGGCGGACATACTCATCCTGAGTATGGGGGTCCGTCACAACTTGTAGCTCTAAAGTAATTTTTTACTGAACACACACATATGTGTATGATCCTCAAATCATCTCTGATTCATACTGACACTGTCCTTCCTTCTGAAGGGTGGCTACTTTTGTGCCCCATTGACTGCTCCAAGCTCGCTCCTGTGATGGACTGCAATCCCAATACAAATTAGTAAACTAAATGTGAGATTGTAGCCCATCAGAGCAGGGAGCTTGGAGTAGTGACTACTTTACAACTAACACAGGGACCATGGAGAACAAAGTAGCCACCCTCCAGAAGGAAGGACAGTGTCAGCACAAATTCAGAGATGATTTGAGGATCTATAGCCGAGTGATACACAAAAATTGATACATTTTTGTTAATAGTTAAGGTACTTGGATGGATTTTCAAGATTTAAAGTAGAACTATGAGGCGAGTGACACGTCGGCTCAATAGATCGGGAAGTGAGTGAACACATACCGTCGCTCGATCATCTCCCTGCAGAGAGCCGTGACTATCACTCATGGCTCCCTGCAGGGATTCCCCCTCTCCGATCCTCCATGGGAAAAACACTTACCCCATAGTTCTCCTTTAACTCCTGAGTTTAGTGCTCATTTAATACAACCGTGCTATAGAAGATGTAATAATTTTATAAAGGATTGAAGTTTAATAAAAACAGTTATTAATTTAGTGTGCAGTACATAAAAAAGTTCAATGTACAAATTAGAGGCTAAGACTGGATAAATTGTGGAATTCACTAAACCATAACAAAGCCAATAAATATGGTGTAAAAATGCACAAGACTGGAAGATTTGTGCTAATGAAAAAGAACTTTGGTTCTTACTGCTTCAACTCTTTATTGATTACAGAAAAAAAATATATGGCAATACCATTTTAGGCAAATGTACATAGTACATGACTGTACATAGGATAGAACTACTGCTTTGTACCATTTAATTCAATTTTATGAATGTAATGTTAAGTTGTCTGGAAAATAAATTTACAAAATGAGTAATATGTTTTTGTGTCTAGTGGACGTTCCATGAAATTAATACAAATTTGCACACTTACTTCATGATCAAAGGGACTACTTCCTTTTCTGTTACATTTTTCTCAGGTGTGCGGCCAACTGTCTGCTCACCACAAAGGAAATTCTGGAATTCTACATTAATATCTTTTTTCCATAAATACGAATAACTCCTAAAACCCTGTAGAAGTGCCTACAAGAGAAACAGTTTTACATTGTAGAAGGCAATATTTAGCATCCTGGAAAGATAAAACAGAGATTGGCTAAAATTGTCAATGAGCTAAGTGTTTCTGCTGCTTTGTCACTTCTCTGTGCAATCATTTTCAAGCTCCATAAGATGAGAAAATGTCTTTCCATAACTTTATTGATCTTTTAAAGTACTTAAGTTACACAATTAAACTGTATTTTTAAGTCAATCCCGTACTGTTTTACACAGTGAAATATATTTTATTTCAGGTGCACAGAAAAGACGGTGTCTGCAAAAACCACAGCATCACATGTCAGTTTTTAAAGGAACAATAAAATTAAAATGCTGTATAAAAGGTCAGGCATACATGCATGAGTGCAGACTTCGTCAGAATAAAACGTAATGAGGAAAACGTGGACATTTTAGTGTGGTTATTATCTTACATATGAAATGTGAAGGTCTATGTATAAAGTATTTGCAAGGCCCTTCACCCATGAAGATTTGTTTTGGGCAAATAATGCAAAAAAGGAATGTTCTTAATATATTTTTTTCCAGTTCAAATGCAGTCTGTTGTAATACATTATTGCCACTAGATGGAGCTGAGGAGCAAAGAGAATAAATACTTATTTCACATGCTCATCAGCTTCATCTAGTGGCCATAATGTATTATTACATCACACTACATTTGAACTGAAAAAAATATATTAAACACATAAATTTTCGGCATTATTAGCCCAAAATGAATGTGCACAGATATTCAGGGGCAAAGGGCACAATGTTTCCAAAGAGACCACTTTGTGCATGGAGTACGCAGAAAAAGGATTGCTAACCACTACACCAGAAATTCTCAAACACTTTTCAGTAAGACATCATATGTTTTAAAAGATAACACCTGGGCCTAATTTATCTTTTTAGAGATGACACCTGGGTCCTAGTGTTAATGGAACCAGTGCTCCCTCTGGAAGATTTCCCCTCTATTTCTGTTCTGGTGACAACCATGAAAGTTTGGATTCCCACACTTTCTCTCTTTGGTTTCCAGGACAAATATTGATGTTAAGGCTCCTCAATAGAGACATAGGAAGAAATAAAAACTTAACAGGAGTTCTAACCCTTCGTCATGCTATAGGAAGCTAAATATAAAAGGTTTTGCGCTGGAGTTATACTTTAAAGCCTCTGTCAGGTTTTGCAGCTGTCTGTAAGTTCATTTGGAAGATCATCCTGACAATGCTATCACCAGGACAGGAAGTGATGGGAAATCTCTCTAACAGGACACAGTCCCTTCCAAAAAACGCGTTACGTAGCGCGATAAAATGCGCATTGTCGCTCAATATCTCGCAATGTAGCTCAAAGCCCTTCAGCACGAAATCCTGCAGAAAAACGTGCAATACCCATGTAGCTCAGTGTGAATGGGGCCTAAAGGAGATTTACAATCTACAGTCAGATTGTATTGTGTGTGGTGAGCCTTAGTCCCCATTCACACCATTGCATCACATATCATAGTTACATAGTTACATAGTAGGTATGGCTGAATCGAGACACAGGTCCATCCAGTTCAACCTATGCATATTGCGTTGACACGCGTTCACACGTTTGTTTCCCACGTTTGGCGCACGTTTCTATTGATTTCAAGGGGTGCCAAACACAGGAAAAGCAGCTCATGCAGTAAAATCTGCTAAATGCCTTCTGTGGTTTTTCCCATTAATTTGTTTGCGTTTTAACGCTCGGGAACTGCAGGAAAACTACATGTTTTAACCAGATGCGTTTGGGGTGCCATTAACTATTAATGGCACCGCAAGCGTGTTGCACATTTGGACGTGTTCCATGAACAAGCAGCAAAACACGCTTTTTTCCCAGTTTGCCAGGCGTTTACAGAACACGATGGTGTGAATGGGGACTTACTGTTGACTACTCCAAAACTGAAAAAAAAAATGCTGACTAGACATATACTAGGGGCACAACGGAGGCATTTTACTGTTTCATGTTTTAAATATTGCATTTTTCAAAAAGCAAATAAAAGATATCAACGTTATCAAATAACGCAGAATTGGAAAATAAAAAAAGATTTTGAACTAAAAGCAGCCTCAAAAGCTGGGATGTCAGACTTTATAGGGGAGGCTAGCCTCCCAGTCTGAGAATCCAGTGTTCTACAGAGTGTTTTTTGTACAGAATTGATGACAGCCATGAGCTAGAGCTCCGCTAGATGCCAAATACAACGTCAAACATCTCATGTTCTGTATATATTCTGCAGTATTAACGATAGCCTGTGTAATCCGTTTCTATTTAGGTCTGTCTTCTCTTATCCTGAGCTTTGAAATGTAACCCTCTTAGATATGGATCTGTGAACATTAGCAAGATTTATTTTTACTTTGCTGCATGATAAAATCTTTAATAAGCTGGTGTGTTCATTCAAGGTTAAAATTCAATTATGGATTGACGCTGATCACTTGAATCACCTACATGCAATACTGCTGGAGAATGTTTCATGATGACTCTCGCATACAAAAAAGCCACTGTAAATAAAAGTCAGTACAGTATCTCCTAACCATCACCCAGATTTAAACCTGCCTTGGAAGTGTGAAAGTAAGGCCTGGTTCACACCTAGGCGATTTATCGCACAGCTCAATATCGGGCAAAACACTGATTTACATTAACGTTAATGAAGGCCGTTCACACCTTTATGTTTTGTTGCGCGTACGAAATCGCCTGTTGCACAAAAAGGTGCAGGAGCTATTTTCGGGCGGTTATCTCTATGCATTGAAAACTGCCTGGTTATCACGTGGTTTTTTAAAGCAAAATTGTGCACAAAAATGCACGACAAATGCACAAAAACAGGTCAACAGATCAATCGCCTAGGTGTGAACCAGGCCTGATTTGAGATACAGCAAGTAGGGCGAGAGGAAGTAAGGTAGGCTCTGCATGGTGCGAATTTTAGCCGTCTTGATGAACCGACTAAAATTCACACACTGGGTGCCCGTCGGCATCCCTCTGCCCGGAGTCCCCCCATCAGCTGATCAAAGGAGCAGGTTGGCAAATTCCCAGCCAATCAGTTGCAAGCTCCATTTGGGTATTCTGACAGCAGCCAGCGACAAAACAGCAGGGGATTCCTACATGCATGCTCGTAAGCATTGAAGGAAGAATCTATTATATTTTCTATGTTAAGCCCGCAGGTTGAACAAAGAAAATATAACTGTTTATACCCAGCTTTATACAACACATGCCCCATGCCTCTGCATCATCTTCTGGATGCCGGCCAGAGCAATCCAGGTTGATAAGAGCTGGGCGGGGAGATGTGTATAGCCTTACACATCTCCCTGCCTGACTCTTAGCAACCTGGGATGCTCTGACCTTAAAGGGGGTGGCAGGAACACTGCAAACATTGTACAGCAGAGCGGCCATGCCATGCACCCCCCCTCCCACATGACCCAAAGAGATGCCACCTGAAGCAACATCCTCAGGCTGCCTCATTATAGGAACAAGCCTGCCAGGGAGTAAATTCACAGTGAGATGCAGTAGATCCAATGTTGTAGCTGCATTACAAATAGCTCTGAACAAGGTGTGTACTGTAATTGAATCCTAGGGTGCTTTTCTTCCAGATCTGTACAGTAATTCAATGTGAAACTTTGCCTCTATGCAGGAGCTTCCTGTAATAAAGACCAGTCACTGCTGCCCTTTTTCCCTGAGCAGGGTGACTGATCTTGTATCCACCCCCCTCCTGTAGTTTTCTGCATAGTAGCTTTGGTGGCTTACTGATAGCATTCACTTGTTGCCTAGAATGGCTCTTTAATATCAACTTATAATACAATAGTCTATTTCGTAAAAACTGTAAAGATTGTGGGCTAAGGGCCAAAAGGAATGACACAAGACATTCCCACGGCCATGTTTGGGTCTGTATGTAATCAGAAATTATTTCCATGGATTCTGGTATGCCTTACTCTCTTCTCTATAAGTTAGAAGATGGCTTACTTCCCAAGCAAGTTCATCAGAAAGAGAGAGACTTTGTCATATTTCAGAGAGAGTTTATTAATAGGTGTCACAGCAGGCTAAACGAAAAGTAGATCATGCTGCAGAATCCTTGACTAGTGAAATGAAGACGTGGATATTAGATAGACGTCTAAATGCTAAACAAAACAATAAATGTCGGGATTGTTTTATTATTCGAAGAAACAAATCATTAGCTTTACCTCTATAACCTATCTATCTACAGTAAGGTACACAAAAACACTTGTCAGGCTGAAGTCTTGATTCATGGAGCAGTACTGCCACCAAGTGGTGAGTATGAGGTGGTGCATTTTTTTTGCTTGGGACATGATGGTGCCATTTCTCACCTGACATTCCAGAATACCACTCTCAGCTTGCTGGATGATGAGGCCAATGAGTTGTAACGCTTCGCTGTCTTTCGACACATACTCTTGATAGCCCTCCTGAAACATATCCATAACTGATTAAAAATTGTAGCTGCTGGTGATTGTCTTTTCATGTTGCAGAAAGACCACAAAACTAATTCTAAATTCCATTACAGGGCAATTAAACTGTTATGTGATGCCTTCTATGTGAGAGATTTTGTACTGTAATTGCAGGTTCTCACTTTCAGTTTCAAGTTGCATCATGCTAATTTTTCATGCATTTCTTCCTGTAAAAGTGTATAGTGATTTTTTTTGTGTGTGTACTTTAACCCTTTCGGTGCTAGAGCCATTTTTCTTTCCTTTTTTTTGTACACATGTTAAAAAATGCACATTTTAGACCTGAAGATAACATTAAACCTCCCAGAATTATATATTTATTTTATATATTTATTTTGAAAGCAGAGACCATGTAGAATAAAATGGTGGCAATTTGTTGTCAAATAATATTAGCACGGTTTATTAAACCCACATTTTCAAAACATTTTATGTAAATTAATTTTAGAGTACATAAACACAATATGAGACCCAATGTTTTGGTAAAATATAAAAGATAAGGTTGTGCCGAGTAAATAGATACCAGCTTCAAAATTGTGTGTGTCCATGAAATGGCAAAAAACAATGGTACCCAATGTTTTAAAAGCTTTTACAGTTCATTAGTTTAACATTATAATGGTCCTAATGGTGCTTTCACTTCAGCATGTGAGGAGATACAAAACATTTTTCAGACCTTGGACCTCGAACCTGGGAGTAAGCAATTATATCATTACCTGCTGTCTGATTTAATGCCAGGCTCATTATCTCCCTGTAAAAGGTGAGCCTAGGACCAGTGAAGAATCCCTATTTATGGTCACACTATGTGAAATTATATGTCACATCATCCAACTGGCTTTGTGGGAGCAGAAAGCAGGAGCTGTGGCGTGTCAAGGCCCAGGGCAAACAAACAATTAAGTATTTTATGCACCCTAAAGTTGTATGGCCATCTCAAGGAAAACTCTTACCTAGCCTTGCAAAAGGTTTCATTTTTATATAATCTTAAACCCAAACTATTAATTTTAGATACAATCGCCATTCAAATCTGTGTTTTCATTGTCAATATGGTGGCCACAGGTTAGGCCTGTATAGCCTTAAATATTAGGTTCCCAGTAATCTTTCTACCTAGAATGACCTGATTAATATTAAACATTTTGGAAAAAGCACTACATATTACAAACCATTATTGACCAGTTTGTTTTGTTCTTTAAACCTTTGTGACCAAATATGTATTATACTGGAAATAGCCCTAGCTGGTTAGGATATCAATTCTGTCACTCAGCAGTCGGCTAGAGCTACATAATCAATTTGTTTGTCTAGCCTTGGATAACTTTGTAACTGCTTTCAATGAAAGACCTGACCTTAACATGTTGTCTGCAAAGGGAAAAAAACACATACCTGGCTGTGAAATAAATTTTGGCTACCGTCAGAATTCCATAAGAATAGAAACAGTATTGACTTCATCCAGCCATGCATGGCATAATTATCACCAAAAGCAGATCATTTTAAAGCTAATTTACTAATAATGATCTAAGTATACAATAGAAATAACTTCCTTGCCCATTGCTATCTAATCTGATATTGATCATTCATGATTGAAAATGCATTTGCTAGATAATTGTACATATGTTGTCATTAGGTGACCTTTCCAATTGTTCCTGAATGATCTAAAGGTTTGGTATAGGTAGCAAACAACTGTACTGTCCTCCCCAAATGTTCCTGATTAAAGTTACATTTCTCAATTAACGAAATTCTGTGCAATGTTGCTTACAATATCATTTCTTTTTTTTTTAAGAGTATTTGAGCGCAGAAGTCTCTATAGAAAATGTTGCTTACAAATTCCAGTAAAAATGTCTCACGGTTACCTTAACAGTTGAAGAAAGTCCCTGTACATGTGATCCCCGGAGAAGAAACATTTTGAGCCATTCTTCTATATCTTCCATTACACTTGTATCAGAGGTGCTCCGGTCAAGGGGTGGATTGAATGCAACTTCACCATTAATCAGTTCAACATCAATGTTGAGTACGGCAATGTGCTGTCAAGAGAAGACAAATCATTACATGCCAAGACCATAAGCCATATGGTTTTTTACTTTCAAATGTCTGATTAATATATCAGTGGTGTATTAAAATAAAATAAAACATGGCTATAAATGATTGTTAGAAGCTCTCCGGAACTTAATGCATTCACACCATAAAGATCGAATTTCCCGACGCAACTTAAAAATAGGTTAACAAATACAGAAGGGGGATATTATCAAAACTGGAGCAGAGAGAATCTGGAGCAGTTGACCAGTATAACCAATCAGTGTCTATCTTGCTATTGCTATTATATACAAGACATGTAACCACAAAGTTTATTTCAGATCAATTCCGATTTTTATTTCTTTCGGATTTCATTTTTCAGATTTCGGATCCCAAAATTGATTTGGTCAGTTATTCGGATTTTGTATCCAACAGAATTTTCGTTTCAGAAAGATCCACAACAGAAAGTCACATGACCATGCCTATAATGCAACCCTGAACAGCCCAAAAAAAACCATCTGATTGGCCAGAGAACAGTCATGTCGGATTTAGTTTAGTTTTGAACGCAATTCAGACAGTTAAAAATTTTCATTACAGGAACATTTGGATTAGTTTGCATTTTGACGCATTCAAATTCGGAGATTCGGATGCATCCAAATGTAACAAAATTCATTTGAATATCCATTTGGAACAAAACAAAGTTTACATGTCTATTATATACTTCAGGGTATTTCTCTGCTAAATCATATGATAAATATAATACATCAGCTTTAAGTATAGAAGGAAAGCAATCTCACTTCATGGTCCAGCAGCGTGTTTAGCAGTGCAGCCAGGCTGGATATGGTTAGTTTTTTTAGCCCTTGCAGAATTATAGCATCAATGTGCATTATAAATTCCTGCCATGCAGGTGATGCCTCACTGATCCCACAGGCAACAAAAGACTGCTGAACAAGGCTGTGAATCCTGTGCCCATCAGATACAAGCAAGCTCTCCAGATCGTACTCCATTTCCCTAAAAATACATATATAGCAAAAACAAATATGTGACATATCAGTGATATTTATCAGCAAACTCACAATGCACATAAACAATAGCTCAGTGGTATGTACTGTGCAATGAAAGGAACTTTGGTCCAGCTCCTATCAAGGCCCTATGCTTGAAATGCAAGGTCTATTACCATGGCTAGATTTTCAGCACTGGAGCTTGTAGACACCCAACATTTGGTTCCAAAAAACCCGTCTGCTAGGATAACCACTTATACATAACACATTTCATTGGTTTGGTTGCACATAACCTGCCTTAGAATACTGACTGTGTAAATAAGTTTATATGAGGTCGCTATATTTCTGGTGATTTCTGTCTATACGCACATGCCTACTGTGCCTTATGGTAGGTCCTGCCCTATCTATTGCAAAACATGGTATACCACCACAGTAGGAGTCTTGCGTGCATACTGGGATATTTCCGCTGCTACTGAGTCGCACATGGACAGCAGATTAGCAGTGGATTGCTTTTTCAGGGATGGTTCACAGGAGTACCGGAGGCAATACTGCTACCTCCTGAATACCTTTTTTTTTTTATCACAAGAGGATTTTACTTTGAAATACCATGGCTCAACCAAGTGCCAATTGGTTGCTGCACAGTCCCAATAACTTTAATGGATAGTCTGCCAAAGGCACATGCTGTAAAAGATTTGCCGCAAAGCATCACGGCCACAGCCATGTATACCAGGCAGTTAAACTGCATTCTCACTGCTTCCCCGACCGCTCACCTACAATTTTACATGATGGCCAATGCAAGGGCGGTGAAAAGTCGGTCCAACCACCTGTTTTACCAACCCTTTGCCACCCATGTGAATGAAACAAAATAACCCATTCACAAGCAGCAATCCATCCCAGTTTGTTTATGTGCATTGGGTGAAAATGGAACATGCTGCATTTAAACACAGGGCATTGGGGCATAATGTGTCACAGTGCTATGCAACAAGTGTTTTGGCTCCAGTTGTGAACCAAACAAAAAAGTGCATGTGCATCAACAAGTGCTAGACACAAAGCAAGTGAAGTGAATACAGCCTAAGATAAAGAAACCACTGTATGGATAATCAGTGTTGGTGGTAAATGCAAATGTATATATGATAATGTTATTATCTTGTATACATAAAAACACGGTTATACATTCAACTATTGATTACTGATCAGTACAAAATCCTATTTATGTCTTCATCACTGAAATCAATTTTGTTTTAGTTTATACAGTACATCTGCTGCTCTGATTTACTAATCATTTTTAACTAGAGGGCATAAAAAACCCAATGGAACAGAGTGGTAACACAGAATAAAAATGATCATATAACAATGCTTTAGAATACTGTCTAAAGGAGGCATACTTCTGTTTAATCATTAATTCAGTAATGGAGTAGCTCCTGCTGGAATCTCGACAGGTGAAAATGTCAAGGTTTGCTGTGCACCATGATGCTGTAAGCTCACTAATGAGCTTGTAATTATTTGTAACAATGCTGTAGCTGTTATAGAGATCAGTGCAGATGTAGGAAGTAGCAAATTCAATATAATCAGTGCTCTCATCCATGCTCCAAGTGAACAAGCTCATTCCATCTCTCAGAATCTGCAAAGAGAAAGCAGCGACTGTGAAATTGATCTACTCATGAAATGGGGAAAATTAATTTAGGAGTGAAGCAGGTCATAAATAGCTCAGTGTTAAACAGATGATTATTGACTTTAATAACAAAATGGGGAAAGGAGAAGCGCCTCAAATAACAATAAAGTGGACAAAAAACTCCTGGGTTCCGGCGTCAATCTATAATAAGCAAGGTTCCCCGAAAAAAACGTTGAGGACTTGTTTGTCATTTTAATTGATTTTAGATGTTCTTTGTCAGTAGCCCCTACTTCATCTTTGTGAACATGAAAATACCTCCAACCTCCCTGAGGAAGCACATACAGCTGCGAAACGCGTCGGAGATGGGGCCCACAGTGGATCATACAACTAGTACAGAAATCAGGACTCAAGGAGTCCATGTTATACTAATGAATTATATATATATGTACACATGTATGGGCACCAAAAGAAGGTAGCTTGATTTCAATGTAACATTGTATCATGTCAATGACATTTTAATTGTAACCAAGTCTTTATGTATTAAATATACGTTTATACAAAACCATGTATGTTTGATGGACGTCTTGTATGGTTTGGACACTTTTAAAGCCCCGCTTTTCTTTTCATGTATACAATTCTCTTCTTTGATACTGAGTATTTGCTTGCCTAACACAGCGCTTGTGTCCAATATCAGTGACTCTTAGCGACCACCATTAACGGTCACTAGATTCTCATCTATATCAATCAACACTGGGCTACATCAGGGAGGACTTGTTTGTCATTTTAATTGATTTTAGATGTTCTTTGTCAGTAGGTGTATTTATATGTTTTTCTACTTTATTATTAATTCTCATTAAAATGTGTTACATTATCATTACCTGTTTGATTATTATAGACAGCTCCTACTTTGGGATTCCGTTTTTTTCAGGGAACCTTGCTTATTATAGATTATTGACTTTAGTTACAATGACACATAAAAATATCAGAGTGTGATAGATAAAAAATTAGCTAGGTTCGGAGGAACTACTTATAAAATCCTGTCTCGCCAAACATTTTTAGAACACTTGAAAAATATAATATAGAAAAAGTACCTCAGAGATTTTTAACAGTTTCTTTTCAAATAGCGCCATCTGGTGGGGTGAGATAGACTTCATGACTTCATTGTACTTTGAGGCCACTGTTTCCAATCGAGTACACAGCATTTTCAGCTTGTTTGTTTCCATGTTGCTTACGAGTGATACAACGGATTCAGGTAGCTGTAAAATTACATAATTCTGTGTAAGACAAATCAGCTAGTCCTAAATATTTGTTTTAAAGCTGAAGTCACGGATAAACAAGCATTGTCTAAATACAAGAGCCATGTGTAATCGTACTTGAATCTATGCAGTAATCCAATGTTTGCCTCTTTGTAGAAGCTTCCTGTAATAAAGACCAGTCACTGCTGGTCTCTCTGTTTGTGCAGGGTGACTGGTCTTGTATCTGCCCCTGCCTGCAGTTTTCTGCAGGCAACCTGTAGTGGGTGGAGCCTGCTGAGTCCTTCCTAGAGCTCTGCTCTCTACACAGGCTCTGTACAGCACAGTAATGATGTCAGTGATGTTTTTCTATAGCAATGTGCACATAAAATGGATTTATAACCTCTGTGGCTGTTGAGAAATATACTTAACCAAAAGTTTTTGCGCACAAAGTTCAACTTTAAGCTCAAATGCAATAATAACAAAAAATGTGTGCTAATCTTATAGGCCCTTCTGTAAATGATATACTTAGGGAATATATATAGTGTCTTGAGAAAGATGGACTGCGCCCCATTGATGATAACATGCCGATACTTTGAGTTATCTCTATTGAACCCATGAGTGCCTCTATATCTACTTTGGATTTGTATATATACATATATAGGCCCAGGAATTTAGGCTCAGATATCTCGAGTTCCTGACAGATGTATGGCACTGTTCATAGATGACAAAGGATCTCCAGAGCTCTATGGTTTAGCAGTGGTTGCCTATCTTGTAGCTCCGTTTATCTGACTAAAATCTACAGGCTGATCTGTTTCATAAGGGAGTAGTCACTGGGATGAGCCACGGCTGACAAGTCATGCTACTTTTTGTAGCTTGTGCCAAACAGCCTACAAAAAAAAGACTGTTTTCAACATCAATTATAAAATTGAATATTTGACCTGTACCTGACTGAATACCAGATTTTAACTCAAAGGTAGGAAAATAAAAAGAAATCACAGCTCCTATTATAGATAAAACTCAGGGGCAGATGTCTGTGTAATGTTATGGGTAAAAGTAGAAATAAGTTTAAGCATTTTTTTGTACAGTCCCCTAAAAAACTTATTTCTTTACCTTAATTGTGAAAGGTGGTTTAGAGAAGTACTCTGCTTCTCGTAGATATACCAGCAGATCTGAGTTAAGATTAATCTCTAATGTGTGTAGGAATACTCCAGAATCATGCAATGAAGCAGGCTTCTAAAATACAGCAAAAGAAAATACAACAGAAAAAGTAAGGTAAACAATATACAATAAATCACATGTTGCATAATATTTTCATTAGGATTTTTGCTTCTTCTGTTTTGTTTCTTTGTATAACACTTTTGTCAAAATGTTTCTAATGCTGATGTCCTAATAAAAACCCTTCATAGCCCCTAAATTTGGACAAATGTCTATCTAAAGATGATTTCAGCAGCAATGTGTTCCATAAATTTATAGCAAAAACTTTTCTTTTTTTTTAGTTACAGATAGAGTGTGAAATGGTTAGAAACTCTGTTGGGTTGTTATTTATGTATGTGTCTCCACTGGGAGGATTCATCCTCTCTATTTGTCATTGAAAGTAAGGGAAAATATAAAATATTGTTTTGTCATTGGAAAAGGAGGTGAAAGGAAATGGGGACAGCTATTCTGATGACAGCTGTCTACGAGAGGATACCCATTACTATGAAGAGATTTGCTCTTTCTTGTTTCTACAAGACAGGTAATAAAAGGAATTCTGCCCTGTAACACACTGAGGGCAAATAATATTTTCCTACTCTATAATATGGATAGTCCGCCGAGTTCGATTCGAACATGAGTTCGAATCGAACATCGGACGTTCGCCGAACTTTATGGGATGTTCGTGGTCTGTCCGACCGCACCACATCCCATAATGGGAAGGAGCCTCCGAAGCTCTAATTGGTTAAAGACTTGCATCTGACCACAGGTCAGGTGCAAGACTTTGCCCAATCAGGGCTCAGTACTCATTTGGAGCCATGATTGGGCAAAGTCATGATGACTCTGACCAATCATGTCTCGCCTATCAGATGCCGGCAAACTACACAATTGGGCCTAGCTAGCTATCACTGCTAGCTCCGCCCAATTGTTTATGTTTTGCCGCCATTTGTCAAAATGCCATTATGTGGCGGGGAGCGGACAAGGCGGCGGTGGTGTTTTTTTAATTTATATTTATTTTTTATTGTTTTATTTTTTATTTCGTTGTTGTCGTGGACAACACTGGACGGCGTGATTGACCATGGATTATGTCGGTGGATCCATTTTTGTTTTCGTTTTTTAACAAAAAAAAACCTGTCAAAAACATGTCTTTTGGGGGGTTTTTTTCAATTAAAGGATTTTATCAAAAGTCTGGACTTTATAATAACTCTTTTATTTAACCCTTTAGTGAATGGTTACTCATTCACAAGGGAGGGGGGCGGCATCTGGGTGCCATCTTTATTAAAGGGGTACCCCGATGCAAATAAGCCCCCTTGCCCGCAGACCCCCACAACCACCGGGTCAGGGTTGTGGGGACGAGGCCCTTGTCCCCATCGGCACAGTGACACCCTCCCAGTGCCGAGGGCATGTGGCCTGGTATGGGAGGGAGCGAGCGCCCCCCCCTTTCCAGCCCTGCCAGGCCTATGCTCGGATCAAGGGTCTGGTATGGAATTTTAGGGGGGACCACACGTCCCCCCCCCATTTTTGGGGGCAGGGTTCCTCCTTAAAATTCCTACCAGATCTTAAGGGCCTGGTATGACTTTAAGGGGGAACTCCACACACTTTATTTAAACTTTTTTTTACACAGGGTCCCTCCTAAATATTCCTACCAGACCTTAAGGTCTGGTATGACTTTTAGGGGGAACCCTATGCTTTTTTTTACAAAAAATTGTCCCTCCTTACATTTCTACCAGACCTAAAGGGTCTGGTATTGTTTGGGAGGAGGAACTGCACACTTTAAGAGTAAAAAAAATGTCAGTTTTGCTGTCAGTTTTGCTGTCAGTTTTGCTGCAGCAGGTTCTATACATCCTACAGATCCGCCACTTCACAGGCAGGTTAAGGGGACCCCCCAGGCACGATATTTGAAGGAATTTTTAATTTTTATTCTTACTCTTTAAGTGATGTTAAAATCACTGCTCCTTTAAAAACTGTATTTTTTGTTTATTTGTTTGTTGTTTTGACATTGATTCCTGTTCCCCAGGGCAGTACCAGGACCCCCATACACCTTTTATGGCCAATAACTTGCATATAAGCACTCTTAAAAGGGGACAATAATTTTCAAAAGTTCGACCCCCATTAACTTGCATTAGGTTCGAGTTCGTATTCACGGGGGTGTTCGGCCCATCACTACTCTATAACTAAAAAAAGTTTTGGATTTAGATAAACTTTAATATGATCCACTATAGACAGTTGGTAAGGCTTCTTCCTGTCTTCTCTAGCATCACATAAGCAGTAGGTGCCAATGCGATCCTTTGCATTGGCTTGGCTAGCTAATGCATGGGGCTCATTAGTGGTGAGCAGAGCAATCTTATTTCTTCAAAGAAATGGGAACAAGTGGCTCCTATTTGCACAGAGATTTTCTGATGATTGGAAGTGTTTGTTACATCTTTCCTAGGAATCTATGCATGGCCTGACAGATGCAAGTCATGCTGGAATCAGATGCATCACAAGGATTTCTAAGACCAACCTAGTAAGAGTATTACTTTATTTCCACTGGATGAAACTTCAGAAACAATAAAGTGAAAAGTTAAGTGATTAAGCAAATATTTTAAAAAAAAACAAAGTGATTAAGTAAATATTAAAGAATAAACTTACAAGCAAAGGAAGCTTTAGGGAATCACTTATTTCTTTGTTCACAGCTGAAACCCATGATGTCACCACACTAATCTCAAACCTGTTATGGCCATTTGAAAAATACAGTAAGGTAACACAGTATCCATACATTGTATAAGAAGAACATTAGAAACAATACTTCAGTTATTTAAGGATTACAGGAGTTTTCACATTTACACAACAATGTGATGGCATTCAGGAAATGATTCTGCCTTTTATAGATATGTCCAATTGTACAGTATATGCCCAAATTTCTACTCTTATCTCCGAAAACAGTAGGCTGCGATGTAAATGCTAGGGTTTCAAAAGATGTAACTATAGATATAGGAAAACAGGTGGCCAATCTGACCGAATTTAATGTCTATAGGTTAAATAAAAATGTTTAGTTTCTTTGAAGATTAAGTGTGTCATCATCCTAATGATTTCCCTTAAAGTGACATTAAAGCCAAAAAAAAAATTCCCTTCCACCCCCATGTAAATGTTAGCACTTACCTTAAATGATGTCTCTTATTCTGATCTTCCTCTTCTTTCCCCATGTTTTCATGTGTCCCTCCAGCAGTGCGATGTCACTCCGATCCAGCGCTGACTGCTCTGTCTCTCCGATCCAGCGGTGTCTGCATGCGGGTGCTAGCGTCCATAGACTTACCTTGCGTCTCTGCTCGTCTCCCGGCCGAGAATCGGAACTGCGCATGCGCCCGCCCCAAGATCCTTTGCGGCCGTACGATCACTTCCTGATTCTCGGCGCGGGATCGAGCGGCGATAACGAGGTAAGTTTAAAACCAGTTCAAGCGGGTTTTTTTTTTTTAAACTTCTTGCCTATATCTACTGCTTGCTAGCAGTAGATATAGGCAAAAAAAACGGAGGGTTTAGAACCCCTTTAAAATAAGCCAGGGCTGGAGGTCTGTGTGAGGCTCCCCACCCCTATCTATAGCATAAGCACCAGGCTGAGCTTGGGCCAACTCTACTCAAATTAACTTCTCCAGAATAAAACAATGATTTTTTCTTTAAAAGGGAGAAACTGTACTAATTTTAGGAACTGAACCTGAAAACTTTCTAAATGGGGTTCACAGATCAAATTGTGTGCAAGGGTCCTGTGACTTAGGGGGATATTCACAAAGCTGCCAAAGGCAGCCGAGTGAATAACCGAGTCGAAGTGAATTGAGCCAAACTACATTCGGCTATTTACTACGGCTGTACATCGGCTAAAATCAGCCGTACATATACTGCCTTCGGTTGCACTTCGGTCAACCAAACATGAACCGAAGGGCTCCCGCTCCCCGATGCAAATAAGCCCCCTTGCCCGCAGACCCCCACAACCACCGGGTCAGGGTTGTGGGGACGAGGCCCTTGTCCCCATCGGCACAGTGACACCCTCCCAGTGCCGAGGGCATGTGGCCTGGTATGGGAGGGAGCGAGCGCCCCCCCCTTTCCAGCCCTGCCAGGCCTATGCTCGGATCAAGGGTCTGGTATGGAATTTTAGGGGGGACCACACGTCCCCCCCCCATTTTTGGGGGCAGGGTTCCTCCTTAAAATTCCTACCAGATCTTAAGGGCCTGGTATGACTTTAAGGGGGAACTCCACACACTTTATTTAAACTTTTTTTTACACAGGGTCCCTCCTAAATATTCCTACCAGACCTTAAGGTCTGGTATGACTTTTAGGGGGAACCCTATGCTTTTTTTTACAAAAAATTGTCCCTCCTTACATTTCTACCAGACCTAAAGGGTCTGGTATTGTTTGGGAGGAGGAACTGCACACTTTAAGAGTAAAAAAAATGTCAGTTTTGCTGTCAGTTTTGCTGTCAGTTTTGCTGCAGCAGGTTCTATACATCCTACAGATCCGCCACTTCACAGGCAGGTTAAGGGGACCCCCCAGGCACGATATTTGAAGGAATTTTTAATTTTTATTCTTACTCTTTAAGTGATGTTAAAATCACTGCTCCTTTAAAAACTGTATTTTTTGTTTATTTGTTTGTTGTTTTGACATTGATTCCTGTTCCCCAGGGCAGTACCAGGACCCCCATACACCTTTTATGGCCAATAACTTGCATATAAGCACTCTTAAAAGGGGACAATAATTTTCAAAAGTTCGACCCCCATTAACTTGCATTAGGTTCGAGTTCGTATTCACGGGGGTGTTCGGCCCATCACTACTCTATAACTAAAAAAAGTTTTGGATTTAGATAAACTTTAATATGATCCACTATAGACAGTTGGTAAGGCTTCTTCCTGTCTTCTCTAGCATCACATAAGCAGTAGGTGCCAATGCGATCCTTTGCATTGGCTTGGCTAGCTAATGCATGGGGCTCATTAGTGGTGAGCAGAGCAATCTTATTTCTTCAAAGAAATGGGAACAAGTGGCTCCTATTTGCACAGAGATTTTCTGATGATTGGAAGTGTTTGTTACATCTTTCCTAGGAATCTATGCATGGCCTGACAGATGCAAGTCATGCTGGAATCAGATGCATCACAAGGATTTCTAAGACCAACCTAGTAAGAGTATTACTTTATTTCCACTGGATGAAACTTCAGAAACAATAAAGTGAAAAGTTAAGTGATTAAGCAAATATTTTAAAAAAAAACAAAGTGATTAAGTAAATATTAAAGAATAAACTTACAAGCAAAGGAAGCTTTAGGGAATCACTTATTTCTTTGTTCACAGCTGAAACCCATGATGTCACCACACTAATCTCAAACCTGTTATGGCCATTTGAAAAATACAGTAAGGTAACACAGTATCCATACATTGTATAAGAAGAACATTAGAAACAATACTTCAGTTATTTAAGGATTACAGGAGTTTTCACATTTACACAACAATGTGATGGCATTCAGGAAATGATTCTGCCTTTTATAGATATGTCCAATTGTACAGTATATGCCCAAATTTCTACACTTATCTCCGAAAACAGTAGGCTGCGATGTAAATGCTAGGGTTTCAAAAGATGTAACTATAGATATAGGAAAACAGGTGGCCAATCTGACCGAATTTAATGTCTATAGGTTAAATAAAAATGTTTAGTTTCTTTGAAGATTAAGTGTGTCATCATCCTAATGATTTCCCTTAAAGTGACATTAAAGCCAAAAAAAAAATTCCCTTCCACCCCCATGTAAATGTTAGCACTTACCTTAAATGATGTCTCTTATTCTGATCTTCCTCTTCTTTCCCCATGTTTTCATGTGTCCCTCCAGCAGTGCGATGTCACTCCGATCCAGCGCTGACTGCTCTGTCTCTCCGATCCAGCGGTGTGTCTGCAGGCGGGTGCACGCGTCCATAGACTTACCTTGCGTCTCTGCTCGTCTCCCGGCCGAGAATCGGAACTGCGCATGCGCCCGCCCCAAGATCCTTTGCGGCCGTACGATCACTTCCTGATTCTCGGCGCGGGATCGAGCGGCGATAACGAGGTAAGTTTAAAACCAGTTCAAGCGGGTTTTTTTTTTTTAAACTTCTTGCCTATATCTACTGCTTGCTAGCAGTAGATATAGGCAAAAAAAACGGAGGGTTTAGAACCCCTTTAAAATAAGCCAGGGCTGGAGGTCTGTGTGAGGCTCCCCACCCCTATCTATAGCATAAGCACCAGGCTGAGCTTGGGCCAACTCTACTCAAATTAACTTCTCCAGAATAAAACAATGATTTTTTCTTTAAAAGGGAGAAACTGTACTAATTTTAGGAACTGAACCTGAAAACTTTCTAAATGGGGTTCACAGATCAAATTGTGTGCAAGGGTCCTGTGACTTAGGGGGATATTCACAAAGCTGCCAAAGGCAGCCGAGTGAATAACCGAGTCGAAGTGAATTGAGCCAAACTACATTCGGCTATTTACTACGGCTGTACATCGGCTAAAATCAGCCGTACATATACTGCCTTCGGTTGCACTTCGGTCAACCAAACATGAACCGAAGGGCTCCCGCAACCGAAGCGAGCTGAAGGATCGGCTGAAGCTATGGCTGGATGCTTCGGCAGCTTTGTGAATTACCCTGTTAGAGTTTCTAACAATTAGCTACGGCAACAAAAAATTCAGCCAGGAGGATATCCTCCTCTAAAGGAGACCTAAATGCTCATCCTTAATGAGGAGAAATTCATACTCTAAAATAAAATTTTAGTAACTTGCTGAAGCCTAGTAACAGTTTGTATACCTTTCTAACTCCTGTGATATCTCATTGTAGATATGCCTCAGTTCCCAGCCCATGTCTCCTTCAAGAGTGGTAGGTGATACTTTCTTCAGATTTACCATAGGACCCTAGAAGAGAAATATACATTTCATTAAAAAATAAACATGTTTGGGTATACATTTTATATTAATGGCTGTCAGTGAAAATTACATTGACAGCATTATAAAATAAAACAGAAACTTACAGAAATTCTTGCTCGTAGTCCCTTTATCCATAAACATTTGCTGACTGTAGGAGTCAAATTAACATGCAAAGGTGGATTATTTGCCATTTCCAAATACATTTCCTTCACTTGATGAAGTTCTTCCATAAACATGGTATACAGTTGGAGATCCTTTTCCTTCAGGTGATCCTAAAAATTATACAGAAAGGCATGTCAACACTAGCAAAATGTTTTTCTCCATTTATTCAATTTTTTTAGAAATACAAACAAAAATAAGTAACTGGAATGTTTATGCACCTGTAATAAAATAAATAAAAACAGATCGTTAATAAATTACAAACTGCATAATATATCTGTTGCAAAGCTGTAGAAAGAGTACATTTACCACTAGGAAACAGCATCTACTGGGTTGTCCCAAATAGACCCGTCTACAATAGATTTCTCAATATGCTGCCAACTACCAATTTCATGCAAAGAGAAGGGATAAAGCTACACATGTTGGCTAATAAGACCTTTGAACAAGCACAACTTCTATCCAGGCCATTCCACATCTGAGACTAAATATTTGAGCCTGAAAGGTCAGCTTATATCTAAAATGACATTCATCTAAAGATAATCTGCACATCTATGGGTAAATTTAACCAATACAAGTATTATAAAAATTGAAAATGAAAGAAAATTACAAATAATTGCACATTTCCATGGTGCTGTATAGCATGTAGCCAGCTAATGTATTTTGTTGCCTACAATAAGAAAGGAGGAACCCTTTTAGTGATGCTATTCATTATTATTAACAATGATGGTCCACTTTCAGCTAACTTTGAGTGCATATTCAGAAACTGGAGAGATATATGAAATGCTAGATAAACATCATGTTTAGTGCACTGTGTATACTCATTTTTCAAATTACCTTAACAATATCTCTTCTGCTGACACCTTCAAACACCTCCAGCAGCCTGAGCTGGGAAGCAATAGTTGGGCATTGGTCAAAACTGCTTCTAAGAATATTTCCAAGTTGATGTTCCAGACTCTGCAATATCAATATTTCACAATTTTACTGCCTTTATCCTGCATATCATGAAATGGAATAAAACGCACAGTTTTCCACCTGATTTAGTCCTGCTAAGGAACTGTAATCTCTTTTGAAGCACATTTTCAAATAGATGCAACAAAACAGTGTGAACCCTGCGTGTGATGTAAAAAATACAGAAAGGATTCTTCTTACACCGCTCATTTTTCATTATGTTATGAATAAATATGTTAAAGCACATGCTTATCATTGGTCATGGAATCATCCAGGTGCCATGGTGACAGCAATTCACAGTTTTAAACACAGTTTTCTTGGAAACAGAATTTTTAATTCATGAAAATGTAAAAACATCAGAAGCCAACTGTTTTTTGAGAAAATTGTGGTTTCTCCTAATCAACCCTGTCAATAAAATAAAAATGGTATGATATGTCGCCCCTACAAAGAAGAAGTGACTACTCGCCTCTCCCACATCTACTGCCACCAAATGCTACTGCAATGAAGAGTAATTACTATTCTCCTGTTGAAGACTCTTTAGAATTGAGCACTTATGGGAGTGATGAATTCCTGGTCTCCTACTGCACTTAGTGGTTCATCCCACTGACCTCTACTGTATCCTGTTGTGACATAGGAGTCAGAGGGCGCTACCACGGAACAGTGGGGGTCCAGAAGTGTCTGATTGATCAGATGGCAATTCTTCATTACATCAGTGTTTCCAGCATAGGCTCTGTTTTCGATGTAGTGAGTCCCACATAGAATCACCACCCCACTGATAATGTCACTATCAGCACAGCTCCCCCAACCCTCTGATTACTAAGCTCTCACCACCACCCGGGATTTGCCATTCCCACCAGCTGGACCAGTAGCCGTGCCAAGTTACATTATTCTAGCAGTTGTACTGCAGGAGTCCTGTGTGCAGACAGAGCTACCTAGCGGGACTGATCATGCATGATGTTATATAAAGAACATAACAAGTAATGTACTTTGTTCCAAATTATCATAGTACAAATGAGTCTGAAAGATAAACTTACCTTAACTGTAGTTCTTAAATCAAAAAATGCTTTCTGAAATGGATTATTTTTGTCAATGATAAAAATATCTTTAATTTGGCTAATAAATGAATCTTTGGCCAGGCAATATGAATTCCAGATATCCTGTACCATAGCATCCAAGCTTGAAGTGCCTGCACCTCCTATTGCAGTTACAGCCTTTAATACTTCAAAATGCTTCATGGTCTCCACCAAATCAAGGACATCATTGCATCTAGTAAGAAAAAAAAAGGTTCTTCAGTACCAGCTACTATGTACTACGAAAGTTTATAGGTTGTACCAGATGCGTGGTAAGTGTCTTGGCCAACACAAAACACGTTTGGATGTATATTTTATATAATGTAGGTTTATGATAAAACCGATCAAAACACTACAGATTTACAGGACCATTTATGAGGCCATGACACAGGGAGGACAGTAGGCAAAGTGTGACAACTCACAGCAGTCATAAATCATTCATGCTAATGGGATGACACAATAAATCAAAATATGGCAGTTTGTTGACATAACACTGTATTGCATGGTAATGCTATAAACAGGCACAGCTAAAGCCAAAGTGTTTTTTTCCCTTTTATTTAGTTATGGATAGATTTAAAAATGATACATACTTTTGTAAAGTTTTTATTGTTGTCAGTGACCATGTTGGGGAGTGTCAAATGGGACAGATATTTCCTATAATTTTGTGTCTGACACGAAATAGGAGGAAATATCCACAATGAGAACACAGACAAATAAAGACAAGTAAAAAAAACTGACAAAGGTTCTTTCCCTTCCTCACTCTGATTCTTTACATTAAGTTACTTACGTTAAAGCGGACCTTTACCCATATCTTTAAAATAAGAACAAACATACTCTTAGAAATGTTTAGTAATGACAATCTACAAACACATACTTCTAGATAATTGCCGGCTTTGTATTCTTTGCATGCCTTATTTTTATTTTATTTCCCAGTCTTCTGACAGTGGCCATTTTAACTAAAGGCAGATTACTAGCTCTCCTATTACTTCCTGGAACTCTGGCACATGTGACTAGGACATGTGACCATGCACATCATCTCAAGGGAGGAAAATGCCTTTCCCTGAGATCTCATGAGATTACAGATGAGATTTCCCAGCAATGCACTGCTGATGTAATTTTTCCAGGATGCAACTCTTGCATGCTGATGCGATTTTTAGTGAAAGGGGGTAAAGGTCCACTTTAACAGTCTAACAGCAATGATGATTAAGAAAGTATATACAAAATACAACATATTTAATACCTAAAAATAGTTTAATGTCATCATAAAGTTAACTATTTTCCCATAAACAAATAATTTTTCTGCTTTTCTTACAATGAGAGCTCACCTTTCCATAAACTTATTCATATTCTGAAAACAAGGTGCATTGTAGAGAGGCCAGGGAGACTCTTCCCATATGGCATCTTCTTCATCCTTCTGATTTTTATCATTCATGTAAGGGTCCCTTCCATAAACCCATGGAGCTGGCACTTCATACATGGTAACGTTACAAACAGTTTCTGATGCTTTCTTGGATCTTAAAGGAAAACAACATTCAGATAAGGAATTTTTATTTTTACTATTCAACATGTGGTGTTTTATGAAAAAAACACTGTTTGGTGGGTTATTCTGCCTTCTAAAGTCAGACGCATGTAGAAGAATTACTAATTAAGGATCTGTACTTGCCATTCCTCCTTAAAATGTCACAGTTGAACAGGTCTGAAGGAAAAAATCTTTACCCTTATAATCACACAGAACCTTTCTGTACATAGGCTGTGCTGTAGGCCAGCATACTGTAGTTGAAAGGTTATGTATAAGCTTTTCAATGAGTTACCTTATAGACAACATATAAGCTGATTTCCAAATAAAAGGTATGGTGCTAAATGGTTTTCAGACATTTAATATATTATCATTTTTTATCATTTTAAATCAACATATTTCTTCCATTAGACCAGCATTAATTTACTGGTTACAGTTTTAGACCTTTCTCAAGCAATTTGCAGCAAGGTAGCTATTCTTCATACTATTATACATTTAAGCCTTGAAGGAGAACTATGGGGTCAGGGCTTTTCCCCATAGTTCTCCCCAGGGTCACGGGAGGACACAAACTAGCATCCTCCCATCACCCAAAGCTCAGTATACCGCGAGCTACAGCTCGCGTTATACTGAGACGCCGGAATGGATCCCGACATTACTGTCTGGATCCACTCAGCTGCGTGAGTAATAGCTGCCTCTGCCTATCTAGAGGCAGAGCCAGCTGACGGGGGAGGGGCGGGCCCAGCTGGCTCTGTCTCTGGATAGGCAGAGCCAGCTGTCAATCCCGCAGCTGGGTGGATTTCGACAGCAATGTCGGGATCTGTCCCGGCTGCGGCAGTCTCAGGCAGTCGCTGTAGCTCGCGGTATACTGAGCTTTGGGTCACGGGAGAACGCTAGTTTGTGACCCTTAGGAGAACTATGGGGAAAAGCCCAGACCCCATAGTTCTCCTTTAAGAAAAATATGCAATTTTCATAACCACCAGGTAATAAGATGGCAGATAAGATGACATATATGCATAGTATTATATGTAGTTCATTCATGCTGGTCAAAATAGTGTAATATGAGTCACATATATCATTTACTTGGTTAAGGTGGCATTTTCCTCCATCTTCATCATACTGAATTCATCAGCTTTGATTTTTACATCAAGGTAATTTCCACGAAAAGTTGCACAAATTTTTAAAGCTTCCTTCAGCAAACTGTATGCCTGTAATATAAACAAGAATGAATATATTTATAATAAAAAGAATATTTATAATATATACGGGTCTATTCACTAAGCTGCCGAGGGCAGCCGAGTGAACAACCGACCCCAAGTGAAGTGAGCTGAACACTGTTCGGCTATTCACTTCAGGCTGGTACAGCTGATTTCAGCCGTACAGCGGCTTGCTTCACATGGTTTCGGGTCAGCCGAACATGCTCAGCATGTTCGGCCGACCCGAAGCGCAGACGTGTGCAGAAGGAGTTCGACTCCTGGATCGGCTGAGCCGAACATTCGGCAGAAAAACAGAAAAATAGTTAAAGCAGAACAGAAAAATAGTTTAAAAAGTTTAAAAAAGTAAATAGAAAACGATTGTGCAGAGCTAGCAGTGACAGCTAGCTCCGCCCAATAGTTTCCTATTGTCCGGCGGCTCTGCTGCTGTCAAAAAAAAAGAAAAAAAACTCTCCAGGGCGCTCTGGGAGCCTCCCGCTCCCGCTGCCCAGGAGAGAAACACTGCTGTTCCTTTTTTTTCTGTATTCTGACACGGAGCGATGTTAAAATAGAAAAAAAAAATCCCATTGGAATGCATTGCTACATTCCTATTGGCTATTTCAATTTGCAATAGCCAATATTAACTAGCAATGCTAGTTTACTATTGGCTATTGCAAATTGAAATAGCCAATAGGAATGTAGCAATGCATTCCAATGGGGAAAAAAAATTATTTATTTTTTCTATTCTGACATCGCTCCGTGTCAGAATAAAGAAGAAAAAAAGGTAGCTAGCCGAAGGATCGGCCGAAGCTACAGCTAGATCCTTCGGCAGCTTCGTGAATAGACCCCATAGTATAACCATATATTTTGACATAATTGTGATCAAACTAAAAATATGAAGTTGGCCAGGGGTAATGGGTACCCCAACAACTCAACAGTACATTCAAATAACTTCTCACTGCTTTGCTTATTAGTCTCAGTTATAGATAATGATAACAACTCATTCTTTTAGGCCTTGTTCACAACAAACGCGTTCCAGGAGCAGAGCAGAGCAGTTACAGACCGGATCAAAACTGCGTCCAATGTATTCCAATGGTATTTTGGGCTCTAGTTCACACCGCAGTGTCCAGTTCCAGAGCATGTAAAAAAACTGCAGCATGCCCTATTTTACCTGCTCTGGAACGCATGCAAATGCATAAAAAACACATGCAAACGCCCTGGAACGAACTGAAAGCCCATTTTAACCAAAAACGGCTCTGAACGCATAAAAAATGCGGCAAAAGCGCGGCACAACCCCCTGCACTGCGTTTGCAGAAACTCATGCAGATCTGGTCTGCATTTGGTGTGAACAAGGCCTAAGTCACTGAAATCATTTTCATTATGCCCCTAGCAATGATGCAGAAAACTTTGGGCAAGTTTTAGTGGTGGTTATCTGAAGAACAGTGACTGCAACCTACTACAGTGATTAATACAAAGAAGCGTAATATAAAAAATGCAGAGCTCTTTTCTGAAACTAAAATGACTGTTGTTTTGTGCTTATCAGCACATATTGGTACACTGCATTAATATATAAATACCTGATTATAAATGTAAAAGTACACTACAGAATATAGAGGGGTTGAATACTAAAGGCAATTAAGCTGTTCTCTTTGCATGGAAATTTGCTTTTTGAAGGGGAAGTTTTCCCTGAGCTTAGCAAATGTGGTCAAATTTCACTTTACGAGGAATGTCTAATACCTAAGCTAAGGGGAGACTTCCCCTGCAGAGTGCAAATTCCCTTCCAAAGTGAACAGCCTGTTTGCCTTTAATACATCAACCCCATCAACCCAAGTTGAACATATCTTAGAAATGCTCACTAACCTAAAACTGCCTGGCCAACTTGGACGTTTCTCTCAAAGTTTTCCCACCTTCTGCTATGGAATCAAAGTATTTCAAGCTTTTAAAATCTATTTATTTTGTCAAAATTTTGTGATTGAACACTTAGGAGCATATTTATAAAGCAGTGAAAAGGACTTTGCCAAACATTCACTGGAGGTGCATCAATAATTAGCATTTAAAATACCTAGAAGATTTGCCTGTAGTAAATGATTGGTACATGTCAGATCTACTGCTTACTGAATATGCCCCTGTAATTCGGGTACTTGTTACCGAGGACATTTCAGGTACTTTGCTGTGTATCTAGATTTTGGAAACTGTACTGCTATTAATAGAAAGCAAAATTTAAAAAAAACAGCAAAACATTATTTCTAACAAGAATGTGAGATGTGTTTCCTCTATTGACTCCTGGAATTATGTAAATACTCAAAGTAATAGAACAGCACAAGCAAAAAGGAACATTATTGTTCAAAGCTGAACATATACAGTATATAAGCTGCTGTGGATACAGCTATTTGAAGCCTTTAGTAATTAATTGTAAGCTCAATTATAAATAAAGCGTTTGTCCTTATAAAACATTTAAAACATATTTTTCACAATTTTGTTTTCTATGTTGACAATATTTTTAACATTATAAAAGGGTAGAAGGCATCTCTTCCAGCAGGATTGTATAGTTCTTAGAAGAATGGTTTGTTATAATGTTGAATAGTTTTCCACAGGAATGATGGGTTTTAGCAGATACAATAGGTTGTTTTAAAATAGGATTGGATCCTTTCATAAAGAAAAAAAAATATATCAAACATGGATTTTTAAACTAGAATACTGGTCCAGAGATTTATCCGACTGCACATTTTTATTTATTACTTATTTCCTAGTAAAGCAAATTGGATGATGTTTTACAGAGGAGTTATGCCTTCCTCTGGATCTGCCAGGGTTTTTGAGGATGAAAGTTTTTCTCTGGCTGGACTCAATAAATGTGTCTTTTTTAACCTACGTAACTAAAAATAAAATAGGGAATATGGTTCTGTACAATGATTTAGTGGAAATATAGATATTCTTACCTGAGAATTATGCAAAAAATTATTTCCTAGTAGACCACAGGCTATCTGAACCACTTCATTTGACAATAATCTGAGAAGGTTTACAAACACTTTGCTTTGATGATAATATCTAAGTAGGGGGAAAAACTATGTTAGACATATCATCTTACATGGATTCGTATGAAATCATCTATCATGAAAAAAGATAAACATTCAAATGATTATCAAATATTTTTGCAACACCGGAACAATGTTTAAGTGCATCCTGTGTTGCCTTCTGGCTTCCTCAGGGGTGTCTCGGAATTTTTGAACAGCATCATGCCTTTCCATTGTGCCGGCAGGCCACCAACATCATGGAAATGGATGATGCTATTATAGGACGGGTGGGAACGATTCAGAACAGGATGGAAGTTTGCCTCCGTCCAGGCCTGCTCTATCTCCTGCTCTGTCAAGCTGTTGCAGCTAAAGCTCCTCATATAATGGTAGAACGCTGATGTGAAGGGGGACTGAGGACTCTGATGTGAAGGGAGGACTGTGGGCTCTGATATTAATGGGGGGTTGAGTAGTCTAATTTGAAGAGGGGTGTGCTTTTAACTAGAGTCCCCTCTTTCACATCTGATGTGAAAGAGGGGACTCTAGTTAAAAGCAGAGGGCTCTGATGTGAAGGGAGACTTCTAATGTTATGACGGAATCCTAGTATGAGGGGTGGGACTAATGTAAAAGGAAGGGGATCCTAATGTAAAAGGGGCTCCTGATGTACAGGGGAATTCTGAAGTAAAAGGGGGAGGCTCTGATATGAAGGGGGGCTGCTGATTTGATGAGGGAACTCTGATGTGTGGAGTGAATTTCCCCTTAAAATCCATACCACCCCAGTTTTCTGGGAAATTGTCTTGTATGAAATTTGGAGGGGCCAAAAACTGGGTTGCCTTGAGATTTTGCATACTTTTAAAGGATGCCATGGCTGAAAAGAGGTTGATAAATGCTGCTATAATGCCAGCTGCTAGAGAGAACAAGGAGATTGATTGTGCACCATAAATGTTCACAGTTTGGAGCTATGACAAGGCCGGTAGCACAGAGCAGGAGCCAGTTTGTCTTCTTTGTCACAAAAGTAAAGTAGGCAAAGAGCCCAAAAACATACTGTGCTGGGTGAACTGAATTCCTGAAAAGCTCTTCATCTGGAGCAAATATTTACAGTGTATATGACTAAATTCCCAGAATTCAGGGGAAAAACACATTTTGAAAGATGTGTTACTATGGATAAATCACATCTTTTGTGGAAAGTATAAACCTTCTCACAAGTGTATACCTGCCAAAATTTTAAAAAAGGAAAACTTACTAATTTTTTTAATCACATTCGGCACTATATGGTCTAGCAAGATAACTGGATACCATATGGCAAAAATATAGCTTTATTAAACTGAACTATGAAGACCTTTTTGCAAATGTTAATTGTTAGTAAATGTTACGTAAGATCTGACCTGAATAGATAATATAAATTGTAAAAAGATTTGTTAGTGTAACTTTTTTTCAGTGTAAGGCGCCTTTTACATGACGTTATTGCTATGCCTGATGAAGGGACCCTGTGCGGCCCCGAAAGCGCTTGTGTGTTTGACATGAGTTTAATAAATCCACGATGTATTATCCTTGAAGGAACTCTGTGTGCTGGTGACATTTCTCATATTGTGTGCAGTTGACGGCGCCATCCGCAGTCATTCCAAGCACCCTTCCCTGATTATGGGACTTTCCGGTAAGGAGGGCAACAAGCCTTTTCCATCATTTTACATGGGTGCCTGTCAGTTCTTATCTGTGCTTGGATCCCCTATTGATCGGAGCAGTTTGTATTGGATCCGGGTCCATCCATTTTTTTTTCCCAATCATAATACTGAACTTACTGGACCCATGTTAGGTCTATGGGGAGTTGGATGTAAGTGGACATGTGTCCATTTACATCAGTTTACCCCTGTTCCGTCACGATCAGGTCCACCAAAATGGAACTTGGATTTGTTTGGTTTTCAGGACCTGCAAGGAGTTAGGGGTAACCAGATGTAAACGGATGCCCATCCGTGTAGATCTGACTGCCCATAGACATACATCGTGCTTCCGATCCGATCCGCCTGAAAACTGAAAGGGGCCTCCTCCTGTCTGAAAGCCTTAGCACAAAAGCATGTTGCAAGGTTTCTTATGGTAGTACTTAACTGACTAAGGTTTCGGAGACATTGTTATATCAATCCCTTTTTTCTAATAGATAACAAATTAAACAGAAATAGGATTCCAGTGTTTTGTAAAATAGGTACATAATAACATAGATAGGGATATAAAAAATATATATTTTATCTTAAAAGTGAATGATATGACAAACTGGAAGATTAAAGGGTTATTAAACCCTTGCATGTTTTTGCATATATTTACTGCTAGCAAGAAAAAAAACGCAAAAAAAAAAAACTTTTTCAAAGGGTTAATACTTACCTGTGTCTCCGCCACGAGCTCCCGTCCGAACATCATAAAAATTTCTCGGGCTGCCGCAAAGGATCTTAAGGCGGGCGCATGCGCAGTTCAGATGTTCGTCCGGGAGACGAGGAGAGACACAAGGTAAGTATATGGAGCAGGGTGCACCCGCACAGACTGGACACAGGAGTCAGCTCTGGATCGGAGACCCGCACCTGCGCTCGAGGGACAGCTAGAAACTACAGGAAAGAAGAAGATGATCGAATTAAGAGGCATCATTTAAGGTAAGTCCTTGCATTAGCACTGTGGGGGGGACTTTTGCCTTTAGTGCCACTTTAAATAACACCTGAATTATATGTAAAACGTTTGATTGTTTTAAGTTTTCTGAAAGTAAAAATATCCAGTAATCTGTTACTGTTGTAACATTTTACTTACCTGGAATGCTTCCAAACAAAAAGCAAATGGTGAAGCAATTGAAAAAAGCATTTCTGCTTCTCTAAGTGAGGTCTGGCAGATTTTAGCTGATCATAGCACTCAACCATTGTCTTTAAGAACATCAAGTTTTCCTCTGTTTGATGCCGCGCCTAATAGAAAAGAATGGATTTGCAATTACAACAAATTCACTAAAACAGCCAGCTTACTGACAATTGTGGATTAACGTATGTACATTTTTACATGTTCCTTGTTCCCATTGCACAGAGCAAACAACAGAACTTCTTTCTTCCTTATTTTAGGATTAAATGTTCTACCGGGCACATAGCCGGACAGATGCCATTCACACAGCACTATATTTGTCAGGGCCATCTAGGGGCACTAGTGCCATGCGAACAACATCTGTCTGGCTATAGGCCGGGTAGAACTTTAGTAAATGGACCCCTCAGCAGTGTTTAAAACCATTCCAATAACGCTACTGTATTTGAAAGCTGCAGTTCAGACATATTTTTATGGGGCTGAATTTGATGGTGAAATCATTCTAATAGATGGCAACTGAAGTATGCACTATTTTGAGACTCTAGCCAAAGAAATTCTAATTTTGGATTGAGTAGAAGATGATTATAATCTCTGTTGGGTTTGTATTGCTCTTTGTGTCTCCTTTGAGGAGATTCACTCTTAATTCTTGATGATCAGAATATAACCAGAGGAGGAAATAGAAACCGCCCACTGAGGACACCTTAGCTATTAGTTCCCTGTTCAGACATGCGTCCTCTTGTTCAAAGAGGGAAAAGGGAGGTTTTCCAGCATTAATCTGCTCTGCATATATTAAAGATCTTTTGCAACTGAGTGCAAAAAGCTGTAAAGATTTATAATTGAAAAATAAATAACTGTGATGTTCGTTTGTTAAAAAAAAGCTGACTAATGGGATTATATTTTATTTAGGGAAGTCCATTTTATTTTCACAGTGCAGCAGTCATTTTGCTCTCCTCATAATGTACTTCCTCTTTTACAACACCCACCTTTTACCTTGTCTATTCACTTTGTGGGGTGCACCTTTAGCCTCCAGAAATATGTCCCTACCATAAAAGGCCCAATTGGTTGTGTTTGCTTCCCATGGTCATATGTTCCAAGTCCTCTCCTGACTGGAAGTGATGCTAAATTTCCCACAGGGGGCACAGACATTCCATTTTAACCATGCAAAACCTAGATTTAGTGCTTAGATTTTACATATAATAGGCATGAGATATCGACAGCCACTGACTGAGAAAATAGAAACTGGCTGTACAGATGTGGAGAAAATGTAGGCACAAAGGTACAAACAACACTGTATCACTAAAGCTGAATATGAGCCAAACAGCTAACTACAAATTGTAAATACAGTATATACTGTATGTGTTCTGCTTTACCTTCATAAACATTTGTATCCATATAGTTCTGAGGTTCACACAGTCATGCCAGATAGTAGAGACAGTACAGCACAGCCAATAAAGCTTTTCTCTACTGCAATCAAACAGCCAGGTCACTTTCCAGCCCCCATCATGATATTGGACATGGAAGAAGCAGCAGTACACTGATGAGGTCATCCCTTTGCTTACTCTGCACTCTTCTCCTGTCAACATGTTACTTGCACCACATTTGCATGCAGCAGATCTGATTGACCTCTAGTTCTGTCCCCCCTCTCCCAGTCAAGACAGCTAATATAGACAGAATACATATCATTAGATAATAATATCTGTCTGCAGTTAAGGCATTAAACATACAGCTATACAGCCAATCTCAAATGTAATATTTTTTCCCCATAAAGAGATCCCAATATAGGAACAACCAATACCAAAATTACTATTAAATTGTTTTATTTTAATCATCATTCATCAAGCACATAAATATATAAATATATTGTTATATTTATATATTTATGTGCTTGATGAATGATGATTAAAAATAAAACAATTTAATAGTAATTTTGGTATTGGTTGTTCCTATATTTGGATCTCTTTATGGGGAAAAAATATTACATTTGAGATTTAAATAGTAAGAGACCCATACAGGCTTATAAATTATTTAAAGGTTTATGTAGCTGTCCCCTCTCCCAGTTTTATATTATTTTGAATACAGCCAATCATAATGACTGATAAAAATCCAATTTTAAGTGGCAAACGCCTCAAAAATATACTTTGCAAGGCAAAATACAGTAACACCTAAGGTAATAATACATTGTAATTACAGTTTTAGCACTTATTATAGCAAACAGCAATAACATTTGCATACATACAGTATGTGCAGATTTCAACCTCCCTAAAATAAAGACGCCTTCTTTCTAAGGAGAACCTTAAGCTATATGATATTCACAGGCATTATGTTTGCTTGCAGCAGTTTGTGATATCCAATAATTGCATGCATGCACTATAATGTGGTTTAATTCAGTCTTGAAATCAGGGGTAATTTCAAGAATGATTGAATGCTGCAGTCACCTACAAGGTTTCCTGTACATAGGAAGTCAAAATCACATTTGTACATGAATATTACATTCTAACCTATAGGCTTGTTTATGTTTATGCTTGTTTTTTGGTTTATTACAAATACACTGTTCAATATGGTAATTTTCTTAGCCTCACCTTTTGTACATCATTTGTCACTGAAGAAATTGATTTTCCATACGTGCTTTTGGCCTGCTCCAGATGGTAGACAATCTCTCTGGCTTCAGCAGAATTTAACTGCAGGCTAATAGATTCCAGATTGTGAATATGCATTTCCCACATCTCCTTTTCCTGATAAATCCCTGCCATTACACCCTTGGCTTTAATCTCAGCAAGAGGTTCATGTTTAAGTACATCCTGTAGAAAAGGTTATATGAGAGAATAACAAATAATTATTAAATTAAAGTAAATCTGTGCTTTGCCAACGTAGGGCAAAGCAACATCGGGCACGTGATTCCAAACCCGGGTTGTACGGGTGAAACCCGTACGGGTGGCAACCCTAAACAGGTCGCTTTAACAGAGGCTCCACCAGACGCTTATACTTATATCTCTTCACATGTTCCCCTATGGAGAGCCTGAGGCATGCACCTAGTTGTGACTTGGAGCTTACACAAGCTTAGGACACTCTCTACCCCCCATTTGACCACACTGGGAAACTGAATGTTCAAACAATAGCACTGCTATGCTGGAGTAAGGGAGGTGAGTCACATGTTTTTCCATATCCAGAAGTACTTGTTGAGCTATCTGGTGGGATCATATTAAAGTGAACCTGCGGATTAGACCAGCATTGGAAAATCACAGGTTCACTTTATTTTGTTTCCTGGATCAGGACATGAAAGCAAAGTTGTGACAGGGTAAAGTTATCAGACTCAAACTTGTAATGTGCAGATGCTTTCAGAACCCCCAGACATAGCCCAGAGCAAGTTGGAACTCCCCACCAACCGCCTTAAATGCTAGTGTTCATCCATTGATGGCACATCTTACAATTTGTCATCAAACTCTATGGTTTCTCTGTGCTGGAGTAAGATTCTTCTGGAATGTTCAACACCCTTCCAAACAAATATCGTCATATTGAATGCAGGGTGATGGCAGGGGTAGCAGGGTTGGTTTTAATTTTTTTTATTTTTTCTGCAGTTTCTGTATTTTCTTTTACTTTATCACTTTTTAATTTCTATTTATTTTTTTAACTTTTTATATATCTTATTATCTTTTACCATTTTATTTTTTTATTTTAATTATTTCTTATTATTTTTTACTTACTTTTTACATTTTTATTTATTTTATTATTTTTTACTTTTTATCATTTGTTTTTCCTTTTTATTTTATTCACTTAACTTTATTGCTATCACACAGGAGCAAACAAGACCCTGTGTGATAGCATTTGGAGGTGGCAGGTTCTCTTTATTGAACCTATCACCTCCAATACAGGAGTTTGAGCAAAGCACCATGCTGGCTCGCCTGTCACAGCTGAGATGGGAAGGCTGCGAGTGCAGTGTTCCTGTCTCAGTGTTTACACAGAGCAAAAGGGAGAATGGATGTTCTCCGCTCTGCTCCCCACTCTCCATCCTGAACTACCCAGAAGAGCAGGGAACCCCCAAAATCGTGGCGGGGAGGGAGGCGGCCAGCTGGGAGAGAGGCAGCCGGCAGGGAGAGGGGGGGCGGCGGATGGGGACAGACCTGCGGGCATATTACAAGTGATCTCGGCAATAACAATTGTACAAAACAAGCGGCAGCTTCCCTGCTGTACATTTAACCCTGCTTGCCCAAAGCAGGGCTAAATGTAAAAAACCTACCGGCCCCGCACCCGGGACTCCATGTCCCGGGCGTCCGGTGATACAAATTCCACACCCCTGGGGCCAGTATCGCCTGTGCCGCCCCTATAATTCCTGCCACCCTTGAGGCTAGGCCTCGGTGGCCTTATGGGGAATCTGGCCCTGATTGAATTGCTTCCACCCACATTGTCTCCAGGCAAACCGCTAAATACACAGATGGTAAAAATGTATGAGACCTGCTTTACCATCGGGGAGAAACAGAGGCTCCAAAGACCGGTTTAAGAGCAAACAGGCTTGGAGAATCAGGTGAATATAACTTTTTTTATTTTTTTGCCTGGCCAAAAACGAGCAGTTAACCCTTGCAGTGCAGAGGTAGCCCCACTGCAAGGGTTAATAAAAAATGTCCCGGAGTTCTGCTTTAAACAACATAAAAGGTTGAACATGGAAACAATGTATTTAATTAAAACATGACACTAACTTAAGGCCCCATTCACATGTTGCGACTTACCTTTGCAGAGGCCGGGTTAGCGCGACTTTCGGGCGACGTTCCAGCGACGATCCAGCGACGATCCAGCGACGATCCAGCGACGATCCAGCGATGGTAGCGCGACCTTCTCCGTCGGGCTCCATAGAAAAAAGCAAAATCGTGCAAAATCTGCCGAAAAAAGGGTCCTGTAGAAGCGACTTGCGACCGCGACAAGCGACGCGCGACATGGAGCTAAGACAGCTCCATTGACTATCATTAACCGGCGACTTCTCGCGATATCGCGCGGCAAAAATGCGCGATATCGCGGCGGAAATCGCGCGATAAGTCGCTACATGTGAATGGGGCCTAAGGCAGATCTGACATTGAAGAGATATTTTTGTTTCTACCAGATTTTAAGTATGTGCTGGTTCTCACCTTGATCTGCTTTATCCAACCAATGACCGAGGTTTCCAGAATATGTATTGCAGCTCCATGCTTGTTGAATAGTGAGGTGTTTTTCAGTAATTCAAGAGAGGGAATGGGAAGTACAATGGACCCCTTTAAAGAAAGCAAAAGAAAAGGATTTCCAAGAAAACAATATTTTTGCTACATACTGTCATTTTGTTGGTTTAAAGATACACATGTAGATTATGATTTCAGCCCCCTGACTACTTTTTCTTGGAGTTTTGTCAGTAGCTCCTAAATGTCTAGAAATTTAGTTATTGTAAAGCGCTGGGCAAACCGTTGGCGCAATATAAAACCTGCATAATAATAATGTAGTAAGTATGTACAACTCTTGTATGCTGGCCATGCTTGTATCAATACAATCATTTGACAAAACAATTATTTCAATATTCTGATCAAATTGAGCAATTATCGATTGTTTTTCACCCACCACCAATTCAATCACCTTAATTAATTTTGTGGAGTTGGATTGAATACAAAAGCAACCAGTTGGGTTGGAAATCACTGTTTGTTTCAAGCTCATCATATGGTGCATAGAGTAATCAATCAATTATGAAATTATCACTTTTATTTCTTTGTTCAATGTTCACATTGAAAGTGATCAGTAATTTTAACACTTGAGTTGCACTAAACTATCATATTAGATATCGCACCAGTTAGACTGAGTGGTCAGTTGCTGGAAAAGCAATGTATGAATGGCCAAAATTATATTTATTTTAAAATAAAGCAGGATCAAGTCTTAATAAACACTTATTATGGGGTGCACCCATGTCACTGGTGTCCCAGGGCATTATGGACTTTCTAAGGAGAGAGCACAGCAAATACTGTTTCCTTTCAGACTATCTGTCTTTAATTGAAACTGCAAACAGAGCAGTATATGAAAGGAAAATGCTCCAACTCATTCACTTGAGCCTGAGAATTTCAGGTTGAATTACTGTGCTCTGTAAACAACTGGCTTTTACTGCAGGAGGTAAAACGAGCCTGTATTCTTTGTATCTAAAGTGTTCTCTCCATTTTCCCAGGAGTATAACCTACCTGTGCATGGCCTGCAATCACCTCCAGGCTCCCAGTAAACCTATGTAAAACATCAATGATCTTGTCGTTGCTGTATGTTCCACCTGTTGCATTGTTATTGCTCAGAAGTGGCAAGTAGACTTGGTGAAGAAGACCATCAAAATACTTTAATGGGAGTTTGTCACAGTCCACAGAAATCACATGATCAGCTAAAAGTAAATTGGAAAATTTTACTAATGTTATATTAGGCATTTTTCTATATCATCATTTGTATATGTATATGTATCTTAATCTATGATAAAGACTGCATTGCAGTATTCATTAGACAGAACATAAGGAACGTATACTTTCAAAAAAAGTTAAAAACAAAAGGCAATTTAATTTATATGTCCAAATATTTATGCTGTTTTTATCTGAACAATTTAAGTTATTGTGCCATCCAAACAATACTTAGGTAATCCATATAATATATAACCCCATGAAGTATTATGTGAGTATACATTGTATAATCAGCTTTGAATCATCTGCTTTTGAAGATCATAATACCATTGTTAAAAAAGAAAAATATGGTGAAATTTGAAAATGCCATGAGAATCTGAATAACAATTTCATGAGAGTGTGCAGCATGTAAAGTGAGTTTAGAATGCCTAATCTGATACTGGGCTAGTGGGCTAGAGATTACAGACATCTGGGCAACTAGTAGTAAACAAACAGTGAACTTGGTGCCACCCATAAATCTTTTGGTGTGGGTGAAAAGAAGGCTAAATGTGGAGGGGGACTCAAATGTGAAAAGGTTCTAATATGAAAGGTGATGGACTCTGATGTGAAGGGGGAAATTCCACGTCTTCTTTTTCCTTTTTTTCTTGGGTCCCACTTAAAACTATCACCTTACTTCACACACCCTTTTGCTTCTCAATATTAGTAACACCACAACCTCTGAGCTACTCAACCTAACTTCATCCTTTGGCCTAACACAATGGACAACCTCTTCTACTCACTCTGATGGCAACACCCTTGATCTCATATTCTCTCACCTCTGCACTCCTTCCAATCTCACCAACACCCCTTTTCCACTCTCTGATCACAACCTTGTCAGATTCACACTCTCCCTCTCATCTGCCCCCCAACATTCCAACCAGCAAACCGCCACCCGCAGGAACCTTCGCCACCTCAACCCCTCTCTTCTTTACTCTGCTACAGACCACCTTTATGACAAAGTCAAAGCCCTGTCCTGCCCTGACATTGCCACTTCTCTCTACAATAACTCACTCTCATCCTGTATGGACACACTTGCCCCTTTCACCTCTCATAAAATTAGGCCCCGTCCTCTACAGCCTTGGCTGACAGATGACACTAGAAAACTCAGAAGGCATAGTCGTGCACTTGAGCGACAATGGCGCAAATCCAAATCTCTGCAAGATTTCACACAATATAAATCTGTCCTCCAAAATTATAGTACCTGCCTTCACACAGCCAAACAGACCTACTTCATCACACTCATTAACTCCCTCTCATCTAGTCCTCATCAACTCTTTTCGACTTTCAACTCCCTACTCTGTCCCCCACCGCCTCCTCCAACCAACTCACTGACAGCCCAGGAAATTGCGACTCACTTCAGAGACAAGATTGATGCAATGCGCAATTAAATCTCCACTGCCCAGACCTCCACCACTCCAAACATACCTTGTCTGCCACAACACTCACTACTCTCTTCTTTCGATCCAGTTACCACCGACAAAGTCGCTACTCTTTTGTCTAACACTCGCCTAACCACCTGCCCCCTGCACCCCATCCCCTCAAAACTACTCCGGTCACCCTCTAGCTCTATCCTACACTCCCTTACTCACATCTTCAATCTCTCCCTTTCCAATGGTGTTGTCTCTACCCCTCTAAAACAAGCACTGGTAACCCCCATATTAAAAAAAAAACATTGTTGGGGCCCACCAGTCTAAACAGCGTTGCATAATGTAAAAAAAAACTTTTTATTTTTTCAAAATGTTCAGTAATTTTTCCTAATTATAATAAAAAATAAAAACCCCAGTGGTGATTAAATACCACCAAAAGAAAGCTCTATCCGTCCCCAAAAAAATGGTATAAAATTCATTTCAGTACAGCGTTGCATGACAGAATAAACGTCAGTCAAAGTACCGCAGCGCTGAATACTGAAAAATGGTCTGGCCAGGAAGGGGGTCTAAACACCTGGTCTTCAAGCGGTTAATTTGCTGTCAAAGTTGGCATGTCTCACAATATAACATTACCAAATTACCTATATTTTCTGCTGTAAGTTTGATTGCAGTCCCCAGTTTCAAAAAGCATAAACATTTATTCTGTAAGACATGTGGTGGTGACAGCGTGGCTGATAAGGATGCCTTGTCCAGCTTAAAGTAAATATATAAAGTGTGTATATCTTCATTCTTCAGAAATTCAAAGAGGCAGGATCTAAGGAATACAATTGAGAGATTTCAGTTAGAGAGCAATGATCAGTCTAAAAGTCTGTGTAGTTCTTGTAAGGACTCACAATACTCCTTTAGTCTTCTTCAACAAGGCTAAAGGGCAAAATACAGCCAACCATTGCAAGCAATCACATATCATGCTCAAGAAAGATTTATTGTAAAGAAATGTGTACAGTATACTCATGTTATCCAATCAAAGTTCACTTTACTGAAGTTGCACCAGTACAAGAGGTACTCCAAATGTTTGCAATGGTTACTGCACGTTGCTGTTAGTGCTCTACTTACATTACTCTATTGAATATGCCCATGTGTGTCACAACAGATGGCAGCATGTGACTAAAGGTAGAAGTACCCAACAGATGTCTGTTCTCTCAATCAGTGAACTATTTACCATAAAAACATGATTTCTTTCCAAACATGGAAACATACTCTAACAGAGTTTGTGGCTACAATGCAGAATGATATTCACAACTTAAAGCGGAACTGCAAGCAAACAGCTAAATACCCAGTACACAATACGGGTTTACCTGCCAAAGGATTTAAAATGCAGGTCAGTTAGTCTTGTGCTTTATACACTTATGCCACATTACACAACTTAAGAAGATTCTGGATTCAATATACTGAGGTGGACAGAGGTGATAATAACACTTAAAGGAGAACTATGGGGTCAGGGCTTTTCCCCATAGTTCTCCTAAGGCTAACGGGAGGACACAAACTAGCGACTTCCCGTCACCCAAAGCTCAGTATACCGCGAGCTACAGCTCGCGGTATACTGAGACACCGCAGCTGAAACGGATCCCGACAATTATGTCTGGATCCACCCAGCTGCGTGAGTGACAGCTGACTCTGCCTATCTAGAGGCAGAGCCAGCTATACCCACCCCCTCCCCCGTCCGTTCCACCAGTCAGCGCTGGAGGATCGGACAGGGGAGGGGGGAATCCAGTCACTCCCCTGTCATGGCTCTCTGCAGTGACAGGATCGAGAAGTGAGCGAACGCCGGTATGTGTTCACTCACTTCCCGATCTACTAAGCCGACCTGTGACAGTTTCATTGTCACTGGTCGGCTAGAACTATGAGGATGAGTTAAAATCACTCACCTCATAGTTCTCCTTTAATCCTCCAGTCAGCAGACTGGAGACAAAGACGTGACATATAAAGTTACAAAGCTGAACAGGAACAAGGTGTCACCTGCTTAGGTATGTGGTGTGCAAGAATGCAAGAATCATTAGGCTTTGCTGGCTATAGACAGCTCATATTTCTCTCATGTAGCCCACAGGCTGAACAAGAGAAACCAATTGATTCCCCCATCCAAGCTAAACGGCAAGGATGGAGGAATCCCCACTAATAGGCAGCAGTGGCTGTCTGAATATCCAAACAGTGATTGTATCTGGTAGGGTGCAGTCACTGTTCAGATGATAGTTTTCCATCTGGCTCAGCCAATATTTAAATCAACTTTTATGGTTTGCAGGTGGTGCTGGCAGAGCCATCCTTGCCTCAACCCTCAGTTGATTAAGCAGGAATCACTGAAAATTTCAAGACATTGATGGCCAGCTAAACTATTCAAAATTTGCAATACTTTGCCAGCTACGACACTGAACGTACATGCATTTTTTAAAAAAAAGCAGTTTGATTTTTTTTCCCTAAAATTCTGGTTTAAAGAGAATATGTAATGTACATATATATACAGTGCCTGTGGATCCACAGGTAGGAGGAGGAGATTTTTGGCCACTGCAGCGATTCACAGGAAGGTTGCAGGGACCTTGCTGGGGACCTCAGCTGCCTTCCTGTGAAGCCTGGTGCCTGTTTACAGCGCCAGCTTCGCTTTAAAAATGTTAAGCTGCAGGAGAGGTGTCAGGGCCATATGTTTGACGCATGTGCTCTAGACAAATACAGGGGCTTGTCAGAGTCAAAAAACACCACTATTCTAAATCAAGGTTTTGTATATGAAATAATCAAGAATCAGAGCCCGCAAGGCTCCCTTTCAGAGCTGATTTAGGATTAGAAAACATCTGTATGTTTCTTACTCAATACTAAGGCAAAATGTAAAGACACATAGGCAATCTTACAGGCTGACTTTAAAATACATTAACCTGAACCACAGATAAACTTAAACAAAAACATTAAAAACATTTCATTATTGTTTAATAACATACAGACATTTGATTAAAAAAACAAAACTCAACAATGTGCATAAATAGTTGGTTTGACTACCTGTAACTGTGATCCGAAAGTAGATTTTTCATTTCTTCTGCTCTTGGTCTCAAGGAAGATGTAATCCTTACTTCAAGCCAGAGAAGTAATTCGTCCATCTTTACAATTGCTGCAGAGAAACATAAAACATATGTATGCCAGTCACCTACTGAAATATGAAGTAAGAGGCCAGTGATGATTAATTAAGGAGGCAATGATTAGTAAACATGTATATTGTATGTCCGATCAATAAACAGTTTGCTACACCGCACGCATACAAAGCGGCAGTATCGGTGCATCCTTCATTTCATTCAGTGTAGCATGAAATGGTGGATCCACTGATACTGTCACTCTGAAGGCAGAATGTGAGAAAGCAACAGATATTGTGTATGTACAAGTCCCAGCACACTGGAACTTGAGGCTCCTCATAGGCTGGGACACAGCTAGCAATAGCAATAGCAATAACCTGAGCTTCTAATCCTTAGGCTGGCCATACACTGTTAGAATTTGGAACGATTCACAGGAATCAGCCGAAATTTACAGTGTGGCCCTGATGGCTCGACAAAAAATGATCACTCAATTTAAAGGAGCTGGGCCAAAAATGTTCATGTATCCCACTAGGGCATTGGCTGTCAGAATACAACAGCCACAGTGGGACATTCATCCATCTACACTGTTTAGCATGGATGGAGAAATGTGTTAGATTTTTTTTTGTTCAACCTGCAGGTGTATGGCCAGCTTTAAAACAAAATAAAATTTTTGCTGGGCGTGACCTTTAGGCCTCATGCACACACAACACATGAGCAGAATTGTATATTGCGTAAATGTGCGTGTATACGCGTTTGTACGCACGTATATGCGTGTAAGACAGATTCTTAGTAGGGATGAGCTCAGGTTCAAGCTAAACCCGGTCCGAACCTGAGCTCTTTCAAACCTGGAAGCTACATGGGGCTAACTGCCCAATCAGCTCTGCAGAAGCAAAGGGGCTGGATGCTTCTGCTGATGTCATTGAACTTACATGGCCATATTAAATCAATCTCATTGATCAAATGCAGTGGTACCTCACCTCGGTTCACGAACGCTTCTGTTCGCGAACAGGAAGTTCGCCAAAATTTTGCTTCCGTTCACAAAATCCACTTCGGGTGATGAACACAACCGCAGTCATCTTCCCTGCTCTGACGCATGGTCGTGGCTTCCTCTAGTCGAGATCACGGACAGATCGCAGTTTGATTCGGTTCGCGACCAACTCAGTGCGCGACCACAATCGTGGAACGAATTAAGTTTGTGAACCGAGGTACCACTGTATAGCTATGTGGCCATATAAGGTCAGTGATGTCACTGTATCCCGCCCTTTTGCTTACGTGTAGCTGTGGGCGGAGAATTCCCTGAATGCAGCTGATTGAATGGCAGGAAAGAAGCTTCTTTCCGTGTTTGGAGGAGCTCCTTCTGTGTTTGGAGGAGCTCAGGTTCAGATCGGGTTTGCTCTGAACATGATCTCATCCCTAATTCTTGGGTGCTTAGAAGTAGCACCAATATAAAACCTGCACTGACCACTTGTTTCATGTGTCTGTGTTTTAAGTTAAAAACATATGTTTGACTGGTCACAGTCCAGTCCAGGGTTGCAGACATAGGGTCCTAAATATAGATGGGCAGAAGCTTGATGCAAACCAAGTTCTCCCAAACCTGCGCAAAAATGTCAGTGACACACCCCCTTTCTGGCCATTGCTTCATTTGGGGCATTCCCTGCCCCGCAGATACACGTCACAAAGGGACGGTGAATGCCCCTGCCACAATTGATTGAGGGATGGAGGGTGTCATTGACAGTTTTCATTGGGCTTGAGTGAACTCAGGCAAACTTAGTTTTCACAGAGCACCTGCACATCACTGGTTGTGAACATGGAGAAATCCTTTGCTAAATGACAAGAAGCCTGAATTGTGATAGGCAAGCTCTTGATCCTCTTAGTAACTTGCCTGATAAACCACTTTCACTTTCGTTGAAAAATCTACAGAAAGCAGTTTTCCAGTGCACTGTGGACAAGTAAACTGTAGAGTTTACCTCCACATGAAAATGACAAGTAACACATGTGTTGATTATTGCACATAACAAACCTGAGGCTGCATGTAAAATCACATTCAAGTACCTTAGCTATTAACAAAAATTTATCTTATTTGTGTATCACTCGGCTGTAGCTCCTCAAATCATCTCTGAATCCATACCAACACTGTCCTTCCTTCTGAAGGGTGCAGGGCTGGATTTACCATTAGGCAGAGTAAGCCTCCAGGTGCCCTCCAGAGGGGCGCAGTGCTGGTACCTGCTCTGCCTAATTCCCAGTGCTGTGTCAAGATACAACACCGGCAATAGCAAGGAGGGTGCATTCTGCACAGAATGCCCCCTCCTGCTCCAAGACCAGCCACGCCTACAGGCAAATGCAGGTGAATAACCCCGCTGCTGCGTAAGGCTGCCATTGTAAAACACATGTTTGATGCGGACAGGTGTTTAGGGCATCCTTACGCGACGCTGGGGTCTGTCTCTGCATACGTGAGAGCCGGAAGGTCCCGCAGCAGGCAAGGGCACCGGCTCAGGCTAAACAGATTTCCATTCGTACCTACAGGCACAGGGAATGGTAATCCGGCCCTCAGAGGGTGGCTAACTTTGGTCCTCATATACCTGTGTGTGTTGTAAAGTAGCCACCACTCCAAGATTACTCTTGTGATAGACTAGAACTTCAATACAAACTAGAAAACTAAACATGAGATTGTAGTCTATCACTACATTCTATCATTTGGAGAGGTGGCTACTTTACAACACACACAGGGAACAAAAGTAGGCACACTCCAGAAGAAGGACAGTGTCAGAATGAATTCTGAGGATCTACAGCGTGATACACAAATAAGATACATTTTTGTTAATAGTTAAGGTACTTGAATGTATTCGTATGATGTTAGTGTCACTTTGATGGTCTTGTGTGAAACCATTGACAGGTACATTGTGAATGTTGCATCACTAGCACTGGGGGAGGGAGCTCTTTTGTGCACAGTAGTCAGGTAACTTTCTTTGAAAGGGTGATGAGCTGTGTACACGTTTTGTTTGTTTTTTCAGTTAATTCCAGCTCTGTTCATTAGCATTCAGGTAATGCGCTGCTTGTCATGCCTGGGGGCTGTTTACTTGTTATGGTAACAATGTGGTGAAATGAGTGTCTACCTGTGATCATACAACAAGTGAACCCTAACACTGCATTTACAGTTATGAATCTGAGCTTAGGAGAGCTAAGAAATTCATTTAAAGAATGTTAATTGTAAATTTTATCCAGGTGTGATTTTCCATCCAAACACAGCAGCTATTCATGCTTTAGCCCTAAAGGTGCCCATACACCTTACGACCATCGCAAGACTTTTGTCTTGCGATGGTCGTATGCTTCTTGAAAGTCCGTACGATCTGCCCACCTTGGACGGGCAGATCGTACTTGCGATCATCGAAAGCCCGCCCCGCTGAGGGGCGGGCTTCCGATGACGGCAATGCAGAACGGGCAGTGTGCGCGTGCGCACACCGGCCCGTTCCGCAGCTATCGGGCGAGCAGGCTAGAAACCCGCCGAGAATCGTACGATTCTCGGCGGGTTTTCGAACATGTTGGCTCGACAAAAGACGTGCGACCGTACAGTAGAAACGGTCGCACGTCTTAGTTCACACTGCTCGATTCTCGTACGATCGCGGGATTTCGCCCGATTCTCGTACGAGAATCGAGCAGTGTATGGGCACCTTAACAGCAAAGATTCCTTAATAATTCAGGGCTAATGAAGTCTCGGTAGTTGCTATGAGTTACTGCATTTATACTCGCACTTAGGAATTAAGAACCCCTTTAAAAAGTGCTATTTGTGTAACTCATCAAATAACATATTTTGTATATGAATAAAATAGTGCCATCCAACACAATTATAATAAAAAAGAATCTTACTTTCCAAGCAACCTTTATTATAGGAAATGTATCAAATGTCAAATCAGATGTAAGGTTTATCTAAAGCCAAATTTTTTTTTCTTTTTGTAATAAAACAGCTGTCAGGTTTTTTTTTCTCTCACTCTGTGTCTCATTAGGGAGATTTCCCTTCATTTTTTGCCTTGTAGACTCAATAGGAAGTGAGAGCATATCTTTCCAACGTGTGGGAAATCCCCTTTAAGGGCCCATTCACACTGGTCCAATACGTTCATCACATGGTTCCTTGCAATTAATGCACCGTACTGCACAATGCACCTACCATGCATTAACAGTGCAGGAGATGCATTGCATTGCCATTTATTTGACTGGCACCTCCAAACGCACCTACTGATCGCGCCGCAACGTGTGGTACTGCAATACTGTGCATTGCGATTAAAATAAACAGTTGACAGTTGTAGACAGTTGTCTCAGAAACAAATGGACTTACCTTCAATTTCATTCCCAATGACATTGGCAATCAGGACATTATGGCCTCATTCAGACGGGCAATCTTGGGCGGATAGGTTGCTGCGTTCAGTGGTGGCTAAACGCTGCTGCATTCTGTGGTATGACTGCATACAAACTGGCCAATTAGCTGTGGCCAGTTTGTGTGTGACCATAAAGTCTGCAGAAACGCCGTCCCTGGAAACAACATGTCTTTGCCCAGGGTCTGTCAGAGGCTCTATTCCAGGGGTGGGCAGCTTGGGCCCTTCAGCTGCTGTGGAACTACAAGCCCCATGAGTCATTGTAAGATTCTTCCAGCCATAGGCATGACTTCCAGAGACAGAGGCATGATGGGATTTGTACTTTCACCACAGCTGGAAGGCTGAGGTTGCCTAACCCTGCTCTATTCACATGTATATATTTGATGAGTGATGGCATGCAAACAGCAGCAGCATCGGTCATTGATTTGTACAGAGTACACTGCTGACTATGGATGTGCAGACACACTGGGGGGGAATTTATCAAAACTGGAGCAGACAAAATCTGGAGTAGAATTGCACTGCAACCAATCAGCTTCTCTGTCTCATTTTCAAATATTACCTATGCAAACTTAAGAGAGATGCTGATTGGTTGCCATGGGCAACTGCTCCAAATTCTGTCTGCTCCAGTTTTGATCAATTCCCCCCACCCTGTGTGAACGCGCT